GCGGCCGTTGTCAGTGGCCGGCTTCGCTATGGCGTCGTCGATGATGTTTTTTTTTTGCTTGCTCCATGGGCTTTTAAAGTGTCGTGAGAACAGCAAAGCCCCAAATGACACCGAATAGTGAGCTCAATGTGCATTACTTGCCTTCTAGGGAGGCGTGTAATTGCCGGCCCAGCAGAGTTACCGCAGACCGGGCAAAAGCCATGGCAGCTACCATAGGTGCCGTATCACGATAACCAAGGAAATCTTTCTGCGTTGCAAAGTGCTGCTTGCTTTCTAAAGACGACGGAACCTTTCTCGTCTATGCTCTTGTCTGCATGAAGTTTACTTGTATTCCATGTCTATGCGGCCTGGGCCAAGCCAAGCCGCTCGACAACGCGCTTGATGGACCCCTTTTCGGCCTTGCTCCAGTCCACGCTCTTCAACTCCTCCGCCCGACCGCCACCATCCCCCTCCTCTCCAAACAGCTTCCACAGCTCGTCGACAACCTGGCTGCGTACCCTGGGCCAAGGGTGGAACATGAGTGCCCCAAGCCTCTTCCGCGCCTCCGCGACCCCGTCCCTGACACCCTCCGCAACCTCCGGATCCGCGCCCGTGTCGTCGAACCCGGCCACGCACCCGTACACCTTGATGCACACCTCGAGCTTGCGCACGTTGCCCGTCTTGTAGCCCGCGCGCTGGACCTGCAGGCACAGCGAGCGCAGGCCGACCAGCACCCCGGCGCACTTCTGGAAGAGGCCGACGTGGCACAGGAAGGCGACGATCTCGAGCGTCGGGACGACGACGCGGTCCGCGGCCGCGAGGCCCTGGCGCGCCTTGAGGTTCGCGACGAGGGCGCCGCAGACGGACGACAGCGCGGCGGGTGAGGCGGCGCAGAAGGAGGCGAGGGCGGCGCGGGAGGCGATGACGAGGTCTTCATTGCCTGTGTCGGCGGAGGTGACGTAGCCGGAGAGGAGCTCAGACATCCAGGCCTCTTCGTCGGGGCGGGTGAGTTTGGGGTGGAGAAGGTTGGAGGACGAGCAGGAGCGGAGCGTCAGGAGTGTGTGGAAGTACTCCCGTGAGGAGAAGGTCTGCTGCGTGAAGGTCGGGGCGAAGGACGGGTCAAGGGTAAGGGCGAGGACAGCGTGGGCTTCCGTGCGGACGCGGTCCAGCTTCTCGGCCGCGAGACGGAGGATGCGGAGGAAGAGTTTGGATACCGCTCCCGGCAGCCATTCGACCTCGGTGGTTTCTGGTGCAAAGGCAAGCTTCCAGAGGGACTTTGTGGCGCGGAGGGCCTCGAGCCGGACGTGGGAGCCGACGTCGCCGCGGGCGTTTGTCGTGTAGTCGTTCAGGCCCTCGGCCAGGAGGTCCAGGAAGACCGGGGCGCGGTCGCGGAGCAGGACGCTCTGCGAGAGGCTCTGGAGGATCGCGACGCGCGTGTCGATGTCGTTGTCGCTCGTCCACCGCGCGAGGACCGTGTCGCAGACGACGTCTGCATCTTGGCTGCCGAACGTGCTGGTAATGGGGTACGCCATTGTGAGGGCGGAGAGCACGCCCGTGTCGTTCGCGGTGCGGGAGGTCGGGCGGTGACGCACCGTTGTGGCCCATTCCTGGATGATGGTCCTGCGGGAGTCGGGCGGGGAGAAGAGCAGGTGGATGAGGGCTGCTTCGGAGGAGGCCGAGACCGCTTCCTTCTCGGGGCGGGAGAGGCCTGCGGCGATGACGGGGCCAAAGGTCGAGACGAGACTAGTTATGGATGAGGGGATCGAAGGGAGAGCGTCGATTGATGCCATGACGTTGAGGAGTGATTGGGTGTTTGCGGTTGAGACGACTGTGTAGCCTGGTTGGAGAGGCAACTGTGCGTTCGAGGAGAGCGTGGCCGCCTGCAGGATGGGGAGTGAGGAGGTGATGAGACGGCTGGAGGCTTCGGCGACTAGCTCTGGTCGACGGTAGGTTGTCTTCTGAAAGTCTCCTAAGATTGTCTCTAGACTTTGAATGATGCGCTGTGTGAGATCCTTGACGATGCCATCCGGCTTGGCAGCCAGTAGATCAGGGAACTTGTCCAGTACGGACGCGAGACAGAGTAGGAGTCCGTGCCGCTCGTCGACTTGTCTGGTCTGAAGAGCGCGAAGACGGGCGAGGATCCTGTCGATCGAAGCCGTGAACTGAGCCGCGGCGTCGGGCGAGTCCTTCTGGGAGAGTTCCAGCGTGAGAGTGCCAAATGAAGCGCCGGCGACACGACGCGAGGCGGCATCTGCGTCGCCTATTCCTCGCCAGCCGAGGAGACCGTCTAGGAGAGCCGCACCGTACTGGGGCGAGAGCCTCGTTGCGTTGAGGGCCACTTCGTGAATGGCGCGCGACCGTAGGGCGACGGCGTGGTAGTCGACCGTCTGCACAACCCAGATGCCCTTCTCCACCGTGTCGGGGTGTCGCCCGATGAGTTCCTGCAGCGCAGCTGAAGTGCCGCGGCGGATGTTGCCTGCCGAGTCGAGCGAGGCAGTGACGACCAACTCCGTGGCGAGGACTTGTAGGATGGAGGCGTCCCGGCCGTGAGGCCTGGCAGCAACGACGGCTGCCTGGGGGACTTCTAGGAGTTCCGCGGTGGTGTACCGTCGGGCCAGGGCCCAAATGCCGAAGCATGCTGCATCGCGGACGTTGGTCCCCACGGAGCCGCCTGATGTGCTGCGCTTCTCAAAGGAGAGGCCAAGGAGCAGGCCGTGAACGATGTCTGGGAGCTGGCTTGCGGGTGGGGAGCGGCGGTATAGCAGATGCGAGAGGGTGAGCATCAGACCGTGCCATTCCAAGGGGTCTACGGCTGCAAGGTCGCGGGTCTTGAGCCCGTTGGGGTTTCCTGGCTCCTTGGTCCATAGAACGTTGCGGTTCAACGAGTCGAGGACGGCGTCGACTACCTGGGAAGCCATCTCTGGATCGAGTCTGAGAGTAACAATGCTGAGCGCTTTGGAAGCAGCCAACCGAACGGGCGTATCGTTGTCGGCGAGGCATTCCAGGAAGTAGCCGATGGACGTCTCGATGAGCTCCGTGCTGTCTGGGTCCGGCGGCGACTTGCGAAGGAGTAGGACGGTGACGGAGCGGATGACCTTGATCAGCATTTTGCGAGCCACGGCGACAGAGCGGATCGCGGCCGAGACGGGTGTCTCTTCGACCTCGGAGGAGGCGACTGCGTGAGCGGCGCGGAAGATGGAGGAGAGATGGACGTCCATGTCCGACGTGTTTATAGACGATCTCAGAACGCCGGCCAGGAAGGAGAGCACGCCAATGTAAAAGTACGGCGGCTGCGGCGGAGTATCCGGGGATGGTTTGAGGGAGGCGAGGGCCCAGTTGACGAGGGCGGTCAAGACGCCTTGGGACTGCATGTCGCGGCGCATGGCGATGCGGACGAGAAGAGCGCGGGCACCATCGCGTTCTTTGCCAGGAGAGGCGAGATACTTGACTGCCACTGGGAGGATGCGGACTGTGATCCCGGGCAGGTCAGACGGCCAGGTGAAGTTTGGGATGGAAGGGAGGGTAATTTGTTCGTCTGCCGCGGCGGAGGAGATGGTGGACAGGTCGAAGGGGGCGAGAAGAAGATGCGACAGCCATAGAAGAACTAAATAGCGCTCTTCCCAGGACCATTGCTGAGTGTTGGACTGGGGGGATAAAGGGCTGAGGGAGGGACGGGAGGCCTGACGCGACCTGGAGCGCTCCGCAGACTCGAGTGCCGAGAGGAGAGGCTCAATGTAGCGGGTCTCGGCGTTGAGGAAGCGCACAACGACTTTCTCGCCACGGATCTTGGCGAATGTGTAGAGCAGCTTAGCAATGGCGACATTCAGGGGCTCGAGCAGCTGGGAGCGAGTCGAGAGTTGTTTGGGACGGTTGCGGTTCCGGATGTTGAGGTGGGCGAGGTAGGTTGCCGCTAAAAGCGGAAGCCATGTGGGAAGATGAGAATCCAGCAGTTGAGGAAGCTCTTGGAAAGGGTCGAGCAACTGCGATTGTTATTAGCCAATGAGTTTGATGAGAGGACTAATGAGATTACGCTGGATGCCAGACGGGCTGTTTCTGAGGTCCGTACGCGGCTGCGGAGAGTGTGGCCGTCCGATTTGCGTAGGAAAAGAGGAAGAGACCGAGAAAAATCCGCAATGAGATCTGTTGAGATCCTTTGGAGTTTGATGTCGCTGTCGTCCTCGTGGGCGTCCATTCTGGCGGGTGGGTGATGAGATGAGATGAGATGTGCACAGTCTAGGACATTGAAGTGAGAGCGGGGGAGACCTCAGTGAGGTGCTGGCTCGGACTCCACTAGATAGTGTTGCTTGCCTCCGCTGTCAGATGTCTGATGCTTATTGTTTGCTTGCAACTCGCAATCACCACTTGCGATGTCGTGGGTAACGATTGCGGCAGTGAAGTCGGGTTCGTGTGAGTGAGTTGCGAAGGAAGCCAGAGGTGTGGATAACGTGGTGATGCCCGCACAGTGCTATTGTCGACTTGTCGCTTTATTTGACACTGTTGAAAGGTTCATCAACCATCCTTGGAGGAGAGACAGTCTAGACTTCCGTTCTCTCTGGAAAGACATCATGTTTTCTTAAAAACACTCAGACTTGTTTAAAAGTATGCTCACATATCACCGTCGCCTGAGCTAAGAAATGTATGATTACGTGTCCGTTGGTCAAAGCAGTCACCATCTCAACGAACTCTTCTTCGGCTTACATGAAATCGACTTCAACAGGGCCACCAAAAGTGCAAATCAAAATAACTTTTTGTATATCTGATGATAGTCTCATAACAATTTCCGATTGTGCTGCTTTCGGCCCGAAGGAGTGTGGTAGACTCGATCCAACTAATAACTCTGCTTTTACTCAACCGCCGTACACTACAGTGCAGAATCTAGTGGGTTGCAATAACGTAATTAAGGCCGTGTATTCATTTCCCCTGTCCCATGGAATTATGTACGCTGACCATGTCGGGGACCATCAGAAGGGTATAAAGCCAAATGTGGTAAAGAGAGGTGCAAAGTCGCTCTCTAGCGGCAATTAGAGCATTGCGAAGGCGAGCATGCCAGCCAGTACAGCGATGCTGAAGGTAGTAGCGGCAGCGCTGCTCACAGGAACGGTGGTGGTAGTCGAAGAAGGAGCAGACGTGGGCACGCTCACGGTGGCATTACCGCCGGAGCCTGAGCCCGAGCCCGAACCAGATCCTGAGCCAGAACCAGAGCCAGAACCGGAGCCAGAACCGGAGCCGGAGCCGGGGCTAGAGCCGGGAGTGGCAGACGGCGACGCACCGCCGCTTCCACCGGAGCCGGAGCCACCGGAGGGCACAGCAGTCGACAACGTCGTAGCTCCACCAGAATCAGAACTGGAGTCAGTACCCGTGGCAGTGGCGGTAGCCGTCGGAGTGCCAGCAGCGGTAGAAGAGCTGGAGGTGGTGTTGTCACAAGACAGGTCGTACAAAGGCTTGTTGGTCAGGGTTGAGCCAATGACACCGAAGCTGGGGTTGGGAGTAGTGGGAGAAGAGTCCTGGAAAGTGTACCACCAGACATTTGTCTTTCCAAACATGGGGCAGCCAACCTCGTCCCAGAAAGTCTTCGCGTTCTCGAGGGAAGGGACAGCAGAACCGACGGTCTTACCGCTGACAGGCCAACCAGTTTCGGCAATCCAAACAGGCTTGCCGCCAACGGCACCCTGGGTCGCGCTCAGAGCCTCGGCCCATCGCTGCTTACTGTCAGAGATGGCGTTGGGCTTGGTGTCCTCGAAGTAGGGGTAGGCGTCCATGCCAATCCAGTCGCAAGCATCGATGACTGCCTTGTTGCTGCCATTAACCCAGGCAGTCCATGTGTCGACGTGGCCCAGAGGGGCGCTGCTCAGGGGCGAACCCTTGAGAATTTCCCGGACTTGATCAAAGTATCCCACGAGCGTGTTGGGCTCGGCACCAGCGTATTCGCCATTGGCAATGCCGGTTGGTGAATGGCGGTAGAGATCCTCACTTCCAATGGAGATGCCGGCAACCAGACCGTTGAGCTGACTGCCGTACTGCGACACCGTCTTCTTCAGGGCCTCGAGCTCGTTTGCAAAAGCTGCGTCACCGGCAGAAGCCCAGAGACCGAGTAGCAGACTGGTCTTTGTGGAGATGGCGGCGGGAATGGCTGCAATAGGGTCGTTGGTGCTTCCGCCTTGGACCATTGTGTAGAGACGGGCTGAGGTGAAAGCACCGTTGGTGCCCTCGAGACTAGCAGCAGCCTTGAATTCGGCCTCGAAGTCGGCCTGTGTCTTTGCGCTGCCGTCTGTGAAGGTAGAGCCATAGTTGAAGCCCTGGAAGGCACTGGCCGTTGCGGCGTAGAGGACCGCAGCCAAGCTGGAGGTACGCATTATGTCGGTTGCGCGTTGAGTAGTAGAGAGTTAGGTGCTGCTGGATTTTTGAGGGAGAGGCAAGTACACGAGAAAATGGAAGAGGTCGACTTGTAGATGCCGTAGGAGCCGGGTGCTCTGGAGGAATAGCAACTAGGTATTAATACGTAGGTCAAGGCCGGCGAACGAGAGACGATGTGGGTGTGTTGGTTCAGAGACCCGGAGGCACAATGAGGATAACGATTGTGAGGAGATGCAAAAGAGAGTAGGTGAAGCAAGGGAACCGGAAGAGAAGAAAGGATTGGGAAAACACGAGGGGTAGGAGGGTTTTTGACCAAGAAGGCAAATGCTTGATCAGATCACATAAACAAGCTCGATGGTCTTTGGGCCGACTTCCCTGTGCCTTGCACATGGCAGCGGAACTCCCCTTCTCCTCCAAGTACTATGTCGGTTCTCGGTTTGTTATCCCACACCCTCCCAACAAGAAGGACCAATCCAGACGAGAGAGTTGCGTAAGTGGGATGACACCTGGAGGGCGGAAGAGTCTGGAAAAGGCAAGTGAGGTTAGCTGGGTGGTTCCACATGCCCCGAGTTGAACTGACACTTCCCAACACCCCTTCCCCTCCCCCTCCCTCGCCGAGATGCAGCATCGCTGTCCAGCATTGAATGCTTAAGACGCAGGAACAAGGTGTGCCCCGTATCCAAAGCACATCTTTAGGTTTCTTCTGCAGGACTGCCCCTGAAGCGACGAGGCGATGAGGTCACGGAGTGTGCAGGGCAACCAAATCGGCGCAGGACGGCTCAAAACAAAGGCCCAATCACGGCTGCCATCCCATTTTACCGGCGAGCCGGCGCCCATCTTGGGCCGTCAAGAGTCCCCGGGCACGCGCTGGCTTGCCCATTTTTAGCAGCCATGTGCACTAAGCTCACCCCTGTGTCCCTGTACGGCCAGCCCGTGATGGTAAGCCCGGTCGAATCGCCCCCTCCCCCGTATTTTCAAGCAATCCCAATGTTGCGAGAGACCATAATAACACCTCGTCGGAATGCGCGACATGTCTGTCTATCATTCAATTTGGGAAAGTTTCTGTCGATATTTTGGTCAGTGAAGGCCTGTCTTGTAAGAACGCGAATCTGAGTCTGCCATCTGCAGTCATCTGGCGTCAGTGCCCGAGGAATAACACTTTCTGCTCTGCCCTAAGGTATGTGGCATGTAGGCACTGGTAGGGTAAGGTAGGTTTCCCGACGGCTTCCGGTGCCGTCTGCCACCCGCCTAGCGAGACCACCTAGACTCACGTAACTCCCAACAACGCGTGGTTGCTTGACGTCCTAAGTTGGCGAAACCAAGTGGCGTTCGACATGTTGAGTTGGTTGGGCACGACTGCCGCTCTGTGGAAGAGTCTACTGTAGGGGAAAAGCCAGACCGAAGTCAGGCAGATCAATCGCCAATGACGGAAGCTGGGTGACTGCGAGGAAGACTGGGAAAAAGCAACAGCGGAGATGTGACAGCTGCAGGTACCAAGCGCTCGCTTCCCCAGGTATGCAAGGGTTAAGGGTCTCAGGGGACCACATTCCCCGTCTGCAGTGGCCCTCTCAGCTCGGAGCCTCCAAACCGCTGTTATGATTTTTCCTCGCTCTACCCAATTCTCGCAGTCGATGGGGTCGAGAAATCGCACGTCATTTCATGGCCAATTCTTCCCACTAATGTCAATTTGAGAGGCATCAGAAAAAACACGACGAAATTAGGATCACGTAATGCACTCGTCACCCACCTCAGCCCTGGCGGAAAGCCACATCCATGGATGAGGCACGGCCGGACTAAGGATACTGAGATTATCCGGCCTTCGGTGTGACTCGTAGGGTGCGCCAACTTCGCTCACGTTTGCACCACTCGTGGTTCGAAGAAAAGTGGACCCAATTGAGTCCAACGACACCTGCCAGGCAGCTTCTCTGTGCCATCTCACCAGGCTGCCTTTTGTACCTGCTCATCATCTTGACCTCATCTGCCATTTGTGCAATGATTGACAAATGATGGGCAGCAATGGCGGACTTGAACATCCTGCTTTCCACGTATCCCGAAAACGCCGTCCCGTTCACCAATACACCTCAAGCCAGTAAACCGAAGCACTCTCGAACAAGTACACGAAAGGTGCGAACCGGATGCATCACTTGCAAGAAGCGCCACGTAAAATGCGATGAGGGCAAGCCTCACTGCAGCAATTGCCTCCAGAATCGGGGATACTGCGAAGGCTACGCCCTCGAACCGAGAAAGAATGCCGCTGCAAAACCCGGCCAGGTCGTCTGGGATTCCAGGCAAGCCGTCCGCCATGCCGCACACCCGAGGATCCAGTTGAAATTGGACCCTGATGCTCTCGACTTCACCGACACATCGAGCATGCGCTACTTTGAAGAATTCGTTAACCTGGCCAAAGCACCCTGGACCAATGCAGCCGCCAGCAGCAGCTTGTGGGAAGTAACTCTCCCTCAGCTTGCACGCAACAGCAGTACCCTTCGATCTGCCGCCATGGCCATCGGTGCACTCAGCGTGTGGCATCGCCAATCAGCCCAACGGAGCCTTCGCACAATATCCGTGCCCGAGATGTCAACCAATGAGAGCGACGAGCATTACTTCAATGCTGTCGCTCACTACTGCCATTCCATCAAGGAGCAGAGCCGCCAAGCATCTCTTCAAGATGCCATCATCTTGTCTGTCCTTTTGCTCTTGTTCGAGACGCTTAGGGATAACAGAAAAGCCGCCCTGGATCACGTTAATCACGGTCTTTGTCTTATGCTGTCTCTCGTCACAGACGAGAATGCAGAACATCATATCAGGAAGCTGGCCCCCAACCCCAAGCCTCTCCTGGCTGCCATCGCCGACGTTTTCAACCACCTTGCAAAACAAGCCCGTACGGTGTTGCGCGACAGAGTGGGACAGGGGCCTCCCCTTCCAAACCTAACCAAGGTCTTAAGGAGTAGGAACCATACGATGGAATCTTTCATGATTCTATTGAGTCAAGTGCCCAGCTCGGACGTCGACATCGACGATATACCCACGGTCTTCAAAAGCCTCGACGACTTTGAAGACAGCTGGAATGCAGTTCAGCGTGCACAAACGGCAATGATCCCCATCATGGTGGAATACTTGTACAACTCGGACGTAATTCACTCACACGACGAAGAGGTCATTTATGGGTTCCATGTCAATCTCCTACAAAATCCCCGTATTGTGGAGTTCTCCGAGAAGTCAAACAAGACCATGGAAGCACTTGACGCCGGATTCCAGCCCCTTTTCAACAAGATCATCATGTCGCACGATGCCGACTCACCCCTCTACTTAAGAGCAATTCATCTGCGTCTACAGCACTTGGGCGTCTACACGTTTGACAACCCTCCAATGTATGTGAACATTGACTTGGTGAAGGCACGAACACCCCTCTTCCGAGAATATCTATCTGTTGCTTCCATCGCTCTCCGCGCAGCCAAACGAGACGTCGAGAAAAACCCGGCCCATCAAGTCTCTCTTCAGTGCAACATCACATGGCACTTGATGGTTCTGTCCTTCTTCTGTCGCGATCCGCTGGCGCGCGATGAGGCCGTGGAGATGCTGAAAGATTACCCTGGTCAAGATGGCTTGTGGAAAACACGAGCTCTGTACGCCATTGCAGCGCGAAACCGCACGATCGAATGCATGAATGCCTCCGAAGGCACGCCTGAAGAACAGTGGCGACGGTTTTGGCGTCGCGAGTTCCTCTTCGAAGAGGGCGGAGACCGTGTCCTGCTCCGCTATCTCGAGAAAGACGGTTTGCTTGGGACGTGGACGTTAGTGCAGGAGGCTGCCGTGGTCCGAGGGAAAGACGAAGACATAGTATGGACAAGGCAACCGGTGCATGGGCGTGGCGGCCTGCTTATGGCCGAAGTATTCGGTGCCGAGCGTGCGGAATTTGGAAAGAGGAGCGGCCAAGGCACCGACGTTTAGAATTCAGGCGGTTTAAGATACAACGTTTTGACGAATGTGCTTTGAAGAGAAGGAGTATACGACATGGAGACAATTACATTGATACCCAAATAAAGTAAGAAAAAGAAACAAGTCAGCCTGGGAAGTAAAGGGTTTGCCCAAACGGTCTATACAACTCGAGATCCCACAACAGCCAACCCAAATCGCGCGCTATGCCAATGCACAATTTTTTGATTTCCGAAGCCTACTGATCCAAAGCCTGACTCTGGCACTGTAAAATGTCTGTTAGTCAAGAACCACGAAAACGAATGATGAATTGCTTACCATCTCCCAGTACACGCCCTTCTTCCGAAGCAGCTCCTTGTGGGTTCCCTTTTCCACCACGCAGCCTTCGCTGAAGACGAAGATGACATCCGCGGTCTGGACCGTCGACAGCCGGTGCGCAACAGCGACCATTGTCCGCCCCTGGCGCGCCCTCTCAAAAGCGGCCTGGACGATCTTCTCCGATTCTGAGTCCAGCGCCGACGTCGCCTCGTCCAGCAGGAGCAGCTTGGGATCGCGTATCAGGGCGCGGGCGATGGCGATGCGCTGCTTCTGGCCGCCGGACATGGAGACGCCCTTCTGCCCGACCTGGGTGTCGTAGCCCTCGGGCAGGGAGGCGATGAAGTCATGGATGAAGGCCTCGCGGCAGGCGTCGTGGATGCGCTGCTCCGAGATGAGGGCCGGCTCGGAGATTCCGAAGAGGACGTTGTCGCGGATCGTGCCGCGGAACATGATGGGCTCCTGCGGCACGAGGGAGAGGTTGCGGCGGTAGTTGTAGACGTTCATGTGGTTGACGTTGATGCCGTTGCAGAGGACCTCGCCGCGGTTGGGCTCGACGTCGTAGAAGCGCTCCAGGAGGGAGATGATGGTCGTTTTGCCGCACCCGGACGGCCCGACGAAGGCCGCGTACTGCCCCTTTTCGATGGTCAGGTTCAGGCCGTCGAAGACGACGACGTCGCGCGTGGGGTACTTGAAGTGCACGTCGCGCAGCTCGATGCGCACACCGCCTTGCGACTTGGAGATCTCGTCGCCGTGGCGGATGCCCGAGTTGCCGCCGACGGCCGACTCCTGGACGTCGAGAATGCGGTCCGCCGCGGCGGCGGCCTGCGCGGCGCTGGGCGCCACCGACAGGGCTTGACTCGCCGACTCGGCGCCTTGGATGATGGCCATGAGGCAGATAAAGAAGGCCTCCATGGTGTACTCGCCCTTCGCCAGGAGCCTGCCGCCGTACCAGAACACGAGGGCCTGGCATCCCATGCCTGCGCTGTCTGCGAACCCGTACAACACGGAGGTCCACTGTGCTTTGCGCTTTGCTGCGTCGATGTGTTGATTCAGAAGCTTCTCATACCGCTCTTTGATTGACGGTTCCATTGTGAGGGCAGAGACGGTGCGGATGGCCCCGATGGCCTCCGTGGCGAACTGCGAGCTTTCCATGAACACTGTCGAGTTCATTTGGTCAAACTGCACTTCCTGCCTGTACTTCCAGAGACCAGTGCCCAGCATGACAGGCAAGCAGACGAACATCGCTATGAGGCCAAGCTTGGGCGAGTAGAGGAGCGCGATGAGCACGGCTCCGGCGACGGTGAAGAGACCCGACAGCAGGAGGGCGAGGTTCAGTCCGAGGAGCTCCTCGAGCTGCTTCGCATCGCCGCCGACCCTCGAGCTCAGAGCCCCGTGGGAGTTCTCGTCATCGTCGAAGAAACTGACATTCTGGTGCAGCATGTCGGTCAGGTACTGCTTCTTGTACACGGCGCTGATGAAGTACTGCGTGTGTAGCCCGATCCAGCCCTCGCAGGCCCACGCGATGCCGATGCATATGGCGAGGACCATCCACATGAGGCCCCAGAAGTTGGCTTCCTTCTTCAACTCGTCGCTGGGGAGGAGGAAGACGTTGATCACCTTGGCAAAGAGCCAGGCCTGGATAGGCGTCCCCGATGCGACCGCCATCGCGGAGATCGTGATGCCGAGATATGAAGGCCACTTGTCGCGCTGGATCCACATGAGCTTGCCGAAGCTCCAGATGATACCTCGCGGCTTGCGTTTGACGACCTCTCGGTCGCTGAGGATGCTTGGGGGACCACCGTGCTTGCTCGAGTTGGCGTACGTTTTCTCCGTCGAGGCGTCATCAAACTCCACAAGCTTGGGGTTCGCCTTCTCGTCATTGGGATCAGACAGGTTCAGAGCCTGGGCGTTTACCAGCCCGCGGTAGACGCCGTACTTGTTGGCCATGAGGCTCTGGTGCGTGCCTTGCTCGACGGCTTGGCCCTGCTGCAGCACGACAATGTGGTCCGCCTTTTGGATTGTTGAGAGGCGGTGGGCAATGGTGATTGTCGTGCGGCCCTTGGTGACCCTGTCGAGTGCGGCCTGAACGACCTTTTCGGACTTTGCGTCGATTGCGCTCGTTGCCTCGTCGAGAATGATGATGCGCGGCTGCTTGATGATGCTCCTCGCGATAGCGAGTCTTTGCTTTTGGCCTCCCGAGAGCTTGGCGCCGCCATCGCCGACCTTTGTGTCATATCCCTTTTCAAAAGATGTCAGCAACACGCGAAGGATGTTGAAGAAAAAGGGGTGTACTTACGTCGGGGAGTCTGCAAATAAACTCGTGGGCGTATGCCTCCTCGCAAGCATCCTGGACAAGCTGCCTCCTGCGCTCCTCGCTCTCGTTCTCCAAACCGGTCCCGATAAGTCCGTTTGCGACGTTGCCGAAGATGGTATCGTTGAAGAGGAAGGGCTCCTGTTGAACCAGACCGACCTGTGACCTCCACCACTGGAGGTCGCAATCCTCCAAATCGACGCCGCCGACACGGATGCACCCAGAGGGTCGCGTGACCTCAGGTACCTTCTCACCAGCCGCCTTGCCCGCGGCTTGGGGCATGAGGTTTACCTTGGGCACAGCAGGCTGCTCCCGCAAAGAGTACCACCGCTCGAGAAGTCCGACAATCGTGCTCTTGCCAGAGCCCGACGGCCCGACAAGTGCAATGTTTTCACCCGGATGAATGCGGAAGTTCAGCTCGTTCAGGACGGTGATGCCGGGCCTGGTGGGATACCCGAACACCACGTCCTCAAAGATGATGTCGTGCGAGTCGATTTCGGGCTTGAGATTTCCGGACGGCGGCAGCGGCGCGTCGATCACGGTGAAGAGCTCGCAAGCTGCGACCATGGCCTTGCTGACGGCCATCAGCGGCGTCGAGATGCGCTCCATCGAGGTGAGGATCATCATGACTGACATCAGCACGACGAAGACGACGCCGGCGTTGTTCAACGCCCCGGCAATGAAGCGCTGCGTGCCGTACCAGAATGCCAGGCCGTAAGCACCGAACATGCCAAAGAACTACACCGAGTCAGCTGTGCAAAGGGAGTGAAAGAGATCACATCGTCGTGGACTTACGATTAACCCAAACTGAGCAGCCACAATGGGCGCCGTCTTCTGAGCCCGCTCCTTCGCCTTCCGCACCCACCCGTCATACGTTTCAATGACACGCTTCTGCGCGCCGCAGGCCATGACCAGTCGGATCCCTCCAAGAGCCTCGCTGGCGACAGCAGTGCCCTGCATATCTGCCACCAGCGTCTCCGTCTGCCCCTTGACCACCCTCGGCAACACGATTGCGAGAATTAGCGTGATGTACAGCAGCAACGAGGACGTAACCAGGGTCAGATCCCAACTCCAGATGAAAGCGATGATCAAAGCCGTCAAAATAGTCCCGGTAAACTGCAGAAACGTCCCCAGGCGCTCCGAGATGCCGATCTGCAGCGTGGTCGAGGTCGTCGTGATGGCCGTCGCGGGCGCCCCGGGCGCCATCGAGTCGATGGTGTGGATCGACTGCGCAAAGAGCGACTGGACGTAGTGCAGGCGCACCGCCGACGAAAGCCGGATGCCAATCATGCGGAAGCAGAACTTGTTGATTGAGTTGAGCAGCCAGCGACCCAGGAAGAGGGCCATGATGAGCAGCGCTTGGCGGTTCAGGAGGTGCTCGAAGTCGGAGGTGGTAAGAGTCGAGTTAGGCTGGAAGAACTCTGTAAACTGCCCGACGAGCTGGCCAAAGAGGATGTTCATGAGCGGGAGGGTGACGCCGGCGCCGAGGGAGGCAACGGCCGCGATAACGTATACTATGAAATCCCATCTTGAGGCGTAGGTGAATACTCGGATGTAATCTGCGAATGCGGGTTTTCGTTCCACGGGCCCAGCGTCCCCCTTCCCGGCGGGGGGTGATTTCTCGTCTGTTTGATTTTTCTTCGCCATTCTTTTTTCCCTTGGTGGCGTTCAAGTTGTGTGTGAGTCGTGGAAGTTGAGAAGTTCTGAGATTCCAGAAATTCCAACCATCAGCGAGACGCAAACCCCCACGACAATATTTCCTCCCAATGACGCGGGGAAGGACGGAAGTCGAAACTTACTTATGGAGTACAGAGGTAAACTTCTCGGTGCTTGGTCTGGTCCTTTGATGTTGCGGCGGATCAAAGCTGCAGAGGTCTGATCTCGACGTCGTTCATGCCGGGCCGTTTTGACCGTCAAGGGGTTTGGTTTTTGGTGAGCGAGATCGATATGGGACCGTTTTGTGGCCCGTTGCCTCTGAAGAACAGAGCCAAGTTTGGCTTCAAGAGAGTTTCAAGAATAGAACGGGATTCGAATTCAAAAGGCTCGATTTGGTAGAAAAACAAAGAAGGACCGCAAGTTGGCAAACTTGCCATTCAAATAGCATCCGAGGACGGAACGATTCTGGAAGACACATGTTTTGGGCAATATGACAGGCACCACCAGCAGATCCAATCTTGCCAGGGCGAAAGATCTCGTGTAAGAGGTCGCTGCTGCATGGGCCGCTGGATTACCGCTTTTGGAAAGACACGACCCGTGCGTTCGTACACTCGTAAATTGAGGCTCGGAGTATTTCGACCAATTAGCACTCGGCTTACCTTGTCTCAACCTTGCTCCCATTAAGGGCGCCTCTTCCGCGGATGACCTACTCTAGGCGGGCAATTCCTATGGGAACAAAAGTACCTGGTGGTTCATACTTCAATAACAGTCCACATGTGGACGTTATTCATGGATGTAAAGTTGCAGGACCGTAATGCAGCCTTGGCATCATGTAAAGTGTTCTCCTGCAGGCCGACTTCCGTAGTGGAGTTCTCGTTCTCATTGCTCCATCCGCCAGGTAAAAAACGATGAGAAGCTGTCGCCGTCGGCGGTGGTGGTGGTGTTCTGGAGACGGCGGCCAGTGAGTCAGGGCCGATGTTGTGTGAACCAAATCCTGTTGGGGAGGCTTGTTTGCGCTCCGTTCGCAACACCCTGGAGAACGGGCTGCGTGGTTGATCTGATCGCCGCCGGAAAAACCCTTCTTGCAGCAGAGGACAAGAGTTGACCGGTGCCGTCCCGAGCGAGGTCTCGCGGCGAGGGGCAGATGCCTCTGTGCTGGGGGGTTCCGAGGGGTTGGACCTCTTCGTGTAGGCGAATGTGATACCCGCTGTGAGCCGCAGCTGCAACTCACACGTGGGCCCCGCAAGATGAGGCGAACTCCTGCTGGTCAACGTTTGGTGCTCCCAACTTGAATTTGCTTCAGAGCTCTCATTGTGTTGCCTTGAATACTAGTACGTACAGATCATCATAACATGCCTTATTTCGAACCAACGAAAGGCACTGGGTATCTCTTGGCCATTCCACATCCCGTTTCATTTACACATATCCGCGGATGCCACGTATGACTCCCGACTTCTTCTTCTTATCGCCATCGTCCTTGCCCTTGCCCTTCTCATCTTTGCGCCGATTCTGAACGCCACCTGACGTTGCTGTCATTAGTTGATCCTCCAGAACCCGTCTCGGAACCGAAGCCGGGATCCTCCAGACTCACCTCTGCCAAAGTATCGTGGGTCAGTCGTGCTCGGGCTGGCAGCTTCGTCCGCCTCTAGTGGACTGGATGGTGCCGGCGCGAGCGATGCACCCGCGGGTACCGGGGTTGACGGGTTGGTCATGATAGGCGGCGTGTTGCTGTACGACGACGGCAGAAAGTTATCTGACAAGACTCGGTGGAGTCCAGAACGGCTAGCTCTCATCGTCACGGGACTGGTCGAATGAGTCGAGTCCGCCCCGTCCACGTCCATGCGGAAGGGCAAGTCGGGCCGCGTGTGAGAGTTTGACGACCCAACCGCGAATCTGCCTTCTTCAACTTGAGACTGCAAGACCGTGTACTTCCGCATCAGGGTCGTATACTGTTTTTGCAGCTCAGCTTGCTTTGCCCGGCTTGCAGCCAAAGCACTCTCCACGGCAGCCTTGGTCTCTGCTGTCCTTCTGTTGTGCAGTCCTTCATGTGCCTCCAGAAGCTTTGCATTCAAAACCCCGATCTGCGTCTGAAATAGCTTCTTCGTTTTCTGCAACTCTTCCTCGCGAGCTTGCAGTTTCAAATCCAGCATCGTGGCCTTGTTCTCTGCCTGGGATGCAGAAGCTAGAGCTTCTTGCCTCTCCGTCTCCTTGGCCTGGAGATTTCTCTCCGAGATCAAGAGTCGCTCTACCTCTGCCCTCAACCGATCGATGTCGGCGGCATTTATTTCGATGGATTGCATGTTTTGCTTCGAGTTGAGTTCCTTGACTTCTGCATCGCAGACCAGCTTCTTGAGCTTCTCACACTCCTCTCGCGCGGCGTGCAACTCTTGCTGCAAGGACTGAATTTTTAACTTCGTCTTCCGAGACTCCTCGCGCAAGGTTCGTAACTTTGCAGACAGGTCAGACTCCCACTTCTTGGCCAGCGTTCGACTCTTTTCGGACTCCTTTCTGATTTGCATCTCAGCCTTCTTCGAGTCTTCCAGACGTTTGCGCAAAGTACGATTGTTCAAGATGAGGTTCTGGGTTTCAGCCTCGCTCGCTGCTTCCTGGACCTGTCTCCGTCGTAGCTCGCCTATATGCGCCATATGCTGCTGCTTGAGATATCTCTCAAAGTTCAAATCGTTTTGTAGAAGGAGAAGCTGCCGCTGCAAGAACGCAATTTGGGTTTGCCCGTCAGCTGCGGAGGACGGCGCGGAGATTGCGGGCGGCGGAGGCAGTTGTGTGGATGACTTCTCGCCTGCAGAGTCCTGGTGGCTGAGGGCCAGTGAGGGAACACTGTCATTGGCCAGAGACTGATGAAGTCCAGACTTGATCACCTTATTTGAGTGAATCATATCTTGTAGATGCGTGTGCGAGGAAGACGGGTTGAGTTGCGGCGGCAACGTTGGACTGTCACCGGGCACATCGGTCCTGGGTGCCTCCAGTGAGTTTCGGTTGGACGGTTGGCTTGACAGCGAACTTTGACGCTGAGCAGTCGAATGAACGCGACTACTCGCCCGAGAAGCTTCCTCTGGCGTTCGGATGGTCCTCCAACTCTCGGCACCAGCCCCCGGCGCAGCATCGCTCAACAAAGCAGGCCCCAGCCCGTCACGATCTGACTCGTCACTGAGAAGCGAGCCCTCACCCTCGGCGGCCTGAGCGACGTCAGGGTTGACAACAGCGAAAGTGTCCGCAGAAAAGCGCAACGCCATACACTCCGCCACAACCTCGGCCGGCTCGCTGGTCATCCAACGGCCAAAGTCTGTCTTTTCAGATTCAATGGTGAGAGTGTAAAAGTTGGGATGCAACAGATGGCTTTGGCGAAAGCGCTCGGACTTGTGACGTATTTCGGTTGGCTGAACTTCCACCTCGTCGGGGTTTGCTGCGTTTGCATGTCGAAGATATCGCTGCGGTTTCCTGATGTAATCCATGAAGTTGATGGGATACAAGCCGTAGAGAATGGTGAAATAATTAGCGAGATGAGGAACATCGATGTCGTCGGTTTCGGGGGAGAAATGGCAGGTCTCCCATCCCGAGCTTGAAGCCTTCTGCTCGCCTTCGTCTGATGTAGCTTCAATCACCCCGATCCTCTCACTATCCCAGAAAAGCAACCGTGCATAAATGTTGAACAGGTTTGGAAGATGTGGCACCAGCGAACTTGGCATATGTGGCAATATCATGATCAAAGCGGTGATTGCCACTGAAATGACGGTTGTCGAGGTGTCTTGTTGCAAACATCGTAGCAAGTTGCCGAACAAGGGCGTTTGCAAGATTTGATGTAGATGCGGCGGTTGGCTCTGGACGAACTCGCACAAGAGTCTGGCAACGCGGGCTCGGCACTCGCTGCGAACAAACGACTTGTCGAGGGTGAAGAGAAAGTCCTGGGCGTCGCATTAGACACTGGATGGTATGGCGGCATGCGCGGTGCATCGCTTACCTTGGGCCTTTTTTTTCCATACGTGAGAAGAGCCTGGCGTATTGCGCGCTCGCTCGATTCCCCAGTCAAGTCATTCCCCGACTGCGTCTTGTAGTATTTGTCCTTCCACGAGGACAACAGTCTTTGCGCGAAAGGGTTTACGGTAGGTTCGGCGGTCGAATCGTCGTTATCGACATGGCCCAGCATCAAAACCTCGAGGGTGGCGTTATGCGACTCCTCCATCAAGCCCTTTTCCCGGGTGAAGTTCTCCAAGACCGGGTCATTCAAGATATCCCACCACTTGAAGAGGCGGGCCGGTGTGCGGAGCACTGGGACCAAAAGGCGGAAGATGTGGATGAAGACAGCATACTTGGACGGCGTGCCCTTGACATGCTTCTCGTATAGACCAAGCAGATCATCTTGCAGTCTGTCGGAGCTCGAGTCGCTATACTCTTCGTGCTTGTTCAGGTACGCTTCGATGACCTGCGTGATGTCGTCGGAGAAAGGCAGAGACGGCGAGGCTGACAGGAAAGATGTCAGAGCTTTGGACAGGTCCTTGAGTGACCTAAACAAGGTCTTGTTAGCCGATCGTGGGCACCATGGCAGAGTTGTGGGAGCTGGAAGGGTCCTGAAGCGAATATCGCGCACCGCATGACGCAGGATCTGGATACGAGATACGGAAGCGACGATAGATGGGAAGAAGATCTGGCCACTCACGCTGACGACGCCATATTGCTACTTGTGACTCTTCATGGAGCCTTGCGATGTTTTTATCGGTCAAGGGGGAAAAGCAAGGCTTCGGCGGACCGCGAGGGCGGGTGTTGAGGTCGATATCATGCAACCGTCAGACAATGAAATCTGCTGATGCAAGGTACAAGCTTTGCCAGGGACCCTCACAGTTGTGCAAGGCCGGTACGGGAATGGAATGGGTGTGGAAACAGTGGAAGGAGACAGTGGAAGGGGGGAAAGATTGGATAATTGGACGCTAGGAAAGCCCCGACGAAAAGCACGACTCCCCTCCACCGCTGCCCTGCCCTGCCCGCCCGCCTGCCTGCCTGTTGCCATCCTAGGTACGCCACGGACGAGTTTGGGTGGTGGGTGACCTGCGGCGGCGTGCGACGGACCACAATCCACACAGTGAGGGGACCCGATGGAAATGACTGCCATGCGCGTTGAGTGGCCTCGCCTAAGACTGCTCTAGCGGGTCCTGCATGTTTTAGGGGGAGCTCTGTACAGTGCAGAATGCGCATCTGGGATGAGCAGAGATGGCCCTGGCACAGTGACGCGGATCCTGGATGAAGCGCGGCAGGTGGGGATACTTGGATCTCGGTGGCCGGATCACGCTGCAGGCAGGTACCGAGACCCCACCAGTGACCTCACGGGGCTAAAACCCCGCAATCCGCGTCTGTACCGCGAGTGCGCCATGCGCCGGTGCGTGGGCCACACTGCACCGATGCACCCGACCCCAGAAAAACGTACGGGCGACAGTGGGGCCATTGGACCACTTGAAGCTGTTGTGGGTTGTGGTCTTGTCCAGAAACGCACCTGATCAGTCGTCCACAGCCAGCGCGGCGTAGTGCCATATGCGTGCTTGTAGAGCAAACCCCCTCAGCTCAGGTCACTTTGCCGGCCAGCTGCGAATAACACGGATTCCCTTTCCTGGGAGGAGAGGTAAGGTACGTAACCGTATGCTGCTCCCAGCAGCAAAGAGCCATGTACCGTCCCGTCCGTACCTTGGACCAGAGATCGGCTGGTGGTGCAACCCCTCCTTTTGCTTGGTCCAGATGACTCGACCCTTATTGCTTGCTTTCCCCTCCCTCTTTTAAGCCAAATAGCTCTGAGCTGTCCTTCTTCTCCTCCTTCTCTCCTTCTTCATCATCATCATCATCAACCAAGCTACTCATCCAACAGCTGCCTCACCAATTCCCCGCGACAACCTTCTCTGTGACCTCTTCACAGTTCCAATTGCTTCATATCAGTCCACTAGCAAGCTCAAGCTTCACCATACCCCTTTCCCCCTCAAACCCAATTCATACAAACAGTTGGCAAGATGGCATCCAAGAGCTCTGCAGTGGCGGACGAGCCCATTGAGGTCTTGTTCGCCCTGCAACCCAACTTTGACCTTCTCGACATGGCCGGCCCATTGGAGGTCCTCGCCAATGCCCTCCACGACAAGAAGGACAAGAGTGAGTCCCCAAATCTACCCTGTTCTCCCTTCCCCCCCACCCCAATGATACCAACGTGAATGCGGACGCAGCCCAGCTGACCAGCCGCCCTACCCCGCAGACTCCAAGGCCTTCGAGGTTACCGTCGCCGCTGCTGAGCCCAAGGTCGTCTCCGACTCGGGCGTCACCATTGGCACCCAGATCCCCTTCAAGGAGGCCTACGAGCGCCTCAGCGACTTTGACGTTCTCGTCATCGTCGGCGGCGATAGCGACAAGATCATCAAGACTAACGCCGAACCTCTCCCCCTCATCACTGCCTTCTCCGAGCTGCAGAAGAAGGACCCCACCCACGAGCGCACCCTTCTCTCCGTCTGCACCGGCTCTCTCCTCCTTGCCAAGCAGGGCATCCTCGCCGGCCTCTCCGCCACCACCCACTCAGACTACATCACCACCCTTGAAATCCTCTGCAGCGAGGCTGCCACCCGCAACCTGACCGAGAGAACCGACGTCATCGAGGATGCCCGATACGTCGTCAACAACCTCCGATTCGACCTCGGCGACGAGGACGAGAACCCGTATGTCCGTCGCACATCCGACGCCGGCCGCCGACCATCCAACGCCAGGTACGTCAGCTTGCTAATACCAAACCCAATTGACTAAACGTGGCTAACGACACAGCAGAAAGGGCAGTATGTCCTTCAAGAGCTCCGGCCGCCGCGAGTCCATCACTCGCCGCGCCGCGATGCGCCTCGGTGGTCTCCGTGTCATCACGGCTGCTGGAGTCAGCGCTGGCGTGGATGCGGCCCTGTATCTTGTCAGCGCTCTCGTCTCCGACGAGTCGGCCGAGGAGGCTGCTCGTTACTTGCATTGGACCTGGAACAAGGGCGTCGTCGTCGACGGACTCGACGTCTAAATGAATTATGATACCCATGAATTACAAGGATGGATGGTAAAAGTTCATTCACGATTCATGAAAATCTGTAAGAAGGACGGGAAAAGCCTTCCAGATGTGTAAAGAGATCTTGAGATCTCGATAGTATTGAAGCAATTACGTGTTTATTAGTCGCAAATCCACTCTATTTCTGAGCCTTGTAACTCCTGCAGCCATGCATGTCACTGTGATCCACTACTCCGTGGGTTCTGCCTAAATCACGAACGCACACCACCGCCAATTGACTGACCGGGTCTCTGCATCCTCCAGCCCGCGCAATTCCTCGTTTTCCATGCCAGATTTCAGCTTCGTCACGCGCACCTTTCCCCTCATAAACCAGTGGGGAATTAACTCTGCGTGTGCCTGGGCTTACATAACTTGACTCGTCTGGTGCTGAAATCCGGGGTTGTACCTTTGACGGACAAGGCAACTCCTTGGGCAATCTTTCGCACAGCGCGCTCGAAACGCCGTTGGCCAGCTTACCGTGTCAGGCTAAACATCGGATAGGCAAACGGCCTGCCACTCGACGCGTCTCAAAACTTTGGGGCTGCTTCTTCCCCAGACTGAGGCATCTGCAATACCTTGTCGACGGGATGGTTTTCCTATTACGCAGGTGGTTTCCATCAATGCGGAGCCAGCTCGAGCTCAGCTCTTGAAACCTTAAAACGGCAGGATGTCGTGTGACGGAAATTCAAACTATCAACACACGTGATGAAGGCACCTGCGTATGTAGAACTTTTGAGCATTTCTGAGCCAAATAGCGCAAGCTATCAAATATATTCAACTGTACGATTCCGAGTTTGTTTTGTCATGCGCTTAGACTGATGTTCCGGCTGGAGCCCCGCATCCGGACACTGAATGGATCCATGTGGGTACAGCATCGGACCCGGACAATTCCCCCGCTCCACGTCCAGCGCCTTGAGACGGATCCACTATCTCTGGCGGACTTATGTAGACCCGCTTCAGCCAATCAGAAATAATTCAATCCTTGCTGTGAACTTTTTAGATTCTCGCGAGCCGCACACCAGAATCCAAGAGCACCGTAGGCCAGCAACGACACCATGCCTAGATCGTGGCGAGGACTGGTTAAAAAGGAGTTTAACCCCTTGTTTCCGGGCTTCAAGCTCGGAGAGAAGAAGGTCTACCTGTGAGAAGCACCCCAATTGCCGTCACCGCACCCCGGCAGCGTGGAGAAACTGACCTTTTCACCACCCTCCACAGGCCGAACCACACCATCACCTTCATCCGCAAAGACAGAGTCCCGCCCAACTGGGCCACTTTCCAGGTGCCCCTCACATTCACAAAGCTCGACATCCGCGACTACCTCTGGAACCTCTACAAAGTCCACACGACGGGGGTGCGCTCATGGGTGGAGTCGAGCAGCGCGATCCGCAAGCCGCGCGGGGGATACTACCGCCCGCAGCCCAAGAAGTTCATGATGGTCCAGCTGGTGAAGCCCTTCGTGTGGCCCGACCCGCCTAAGAACCTCGAGCCCTGGAACAAGAAGCTGTGGCAGGCGCGTACGGACGCGGCGAACGAGCACTTCAAGAGCCAGGCCCACCTCCAGGCCGGTAATCTGCATTACCCCAGCGAACTAGCCATGACCAGCACGCCGCGGAAGCGGCTTGCGGAACAGGCGAAGGCGCTGCTGAACGGGGAGAAGCAGTGGGTTGAGCCGGGCAACTTGGACAGCAAGTGGGACAAGATCGCGGCGGTGGCGAAGAGGGAGAGAGAGGCGAAGCAGAACAAGTATGACACGGAGAACCCGGAGAGGCTGAGTAAGGAGAAGCCGATGAGGAGGGAGAACAAGGCGAAGAGGCTCGCTGAGAAGGAGGCCAGTGAGAAGGAGGCCAGTGAGAAGGAGGCCGGTGAGAAGGAGGTAGAGAAATAATGAGCACAGGGAGCGCATGAATGAAGAAAGAACGGCCGATGACGAGTTGCACTGGATAGGCGAAGGGGCGTGATATCGTCTATGGGATGGCAGCGCGTGGTGGACCCCATGTACAAAATATCAGACAGCTCAAGGTGAACATGCGGTGATCGCCGCATGTGTGTACAACACAAAAAAAGGATGGCATGGAGATGTAGATCATGTCAATTGGTATCATCAAGTTCGTTACTCTCTTCGTCCGTGTTTGATACAACCCAGTGATGGCCTTCTTGAAATCGCAGGACCTCGTTGCCCCATGCCCACCAGCCTGCTGTCAGGTGACGTGCAAAGACCTCGAGGCCGCGGAATACTTGGGGGAGCAGGTCTCCGAACAACGGGCGCAGGTTTGGTTTTCTAGAGTGGATGTCTGGCACAGCAGCGATTATTCGCTGGGGTATTTTGCGGCCATCACCGCCGCCGCGACGCCTGGCGATGATTAGTCTCTCCCACGGCTTCCTCCACGCGGACTCGGTGTCGAAGATGGGCTCCCCCTGCGAGGTGATCTTGACCCATGTCCATTCAGCAGCAACCTCCAGACCCCATCCGGACAGAACACCTTTGGGCGATGTGAGAAGGTCTACTAAGCTAGGCTTGTTAGTGACCCAGACGGCGACGAGGCCACCGTCTGCAAGGTGGCCGCCGACAGGAATCTGCTCGAGGAGCAATCGGGTCTCCTTGAGCCCGTATACCGTGGAATACCCTCCGGTCTTTCTCCTCGCGGACTTGTTCGGCCAAGGCGGATCCAGGACGATGAGGTCAAATAAAGGTGCCGTCGAGACGAAGTCATCTCGAGTATCCTCGATTGAGCCGCTGATGTACGATGACCCTTCAGGAATAAAATGCGCCTTTGCCGCCGCCGCCGTCTCACGCGTGGCATGCTCCTGCAGGCCATCTTGATCGTCACCGCCGCTGGTTCTGGCGGTGATGCTGCTCTTGGTGGTGGTCACTCTTGGGAGACAAAACGGCGCGGCGTGGTGCTCTCTGAGCGTGTCGAGAGCGCTCCTCACCGCCGCCTCGATCATGAGGTCTGCAAGTTGGCTCGCCGGCGTGCTTTGGTTGACGTGGGGGTTCCGCGGCTCCGGTAACGGATAGGGCTCGGCGACAGGGTCGACCGACAGGAGCCGCCGTGGGCCCCCCCCTCCTCCTCCTCCGGATGTTGTCTCGGCACTTTGGCCCGGGAGGTGCTGACTTTCCTCGATGGAGGCAGGGACGTCCACAAGGAACACTGTCTGGCTCTCATCACGGAACAGGATGCACTTTGGCGATGCAGAGCTTGACCGGTCGGGTTTTGAAGGCGGACCAGAGACCATAATTTTATGTGAAGTCGGACTTCTCTGGTCTTAATGCGATAGTGCCCTGCTGTGTGGCTATGACGGGCCGGAGGCGTGAATTGAGGCCCGGCGCAGTCCAAGTGCAATCGAACGGGACCCGGGGCTTGGCTGGGGTGGCCGTAGGAAAAGATAGTACGACGCAGTAGTGCCGAGGTCCTGCGTTGGCGCTGTTTCTCCTGGGAAGACAAGACGGGCGGTCTGGGGCCTATTTCCCTTGGGGAATAATCTTATTCCTGGTGGGAAAATTGTTGAAGACTACTGATCCCTAGCTGGCACGCCAAAGTTGTGTCCAACGTGTGTGATTCAGGTACACGCACGTGTAGACATCGTGAGCGTACAGCGTCTTTTCAGCACCGGTATCCGTACCTTGGCCAGAACAAAGCTGCTGGCCGGAGTTAAAGATCCAGGCGCAATATCTTGTGGTCTCGTGCTGCAGAGTAAAGGAACCGCGAAGTCGGCCACTCGCAACTGCCACCGCCTCTATCCGAAGGGCGTGTCCAGTGTGAGGTACCTTACGTCCGCGACGACGCTCGGCAATCTTCGGCTCGTGGCCTTGACCCCTGTACTAGACTCAGCGGGCAGGACAGTCCGACAGTGCCTCTCCCACCAAAAATGTGCCTCCCCCATTGGCAGCGCCGGTCCGCTTGAGCGCCCCGCGGCCCCCCCCCCCCCCCCCCAGAGGGCGACTCTTCAATGAGAGGGAGCCTTTTAAAAATCTCGCCCGTATGACGTCCGCCCCGTCGCATTCCGGCTCCAGAACCCTTTTCCCTTCCATTTCCCATTGCAACTTCTCCACGATCACCGCCGCCCCACGATCCTTACCCTCCTCGCGTGCCACCTCGATTCTTTCCCTACTTGTGCTCTAATTTACTCCCCGACCTACACACACGCTCCAACACCGACACTCACGGAATGCTCCTGTAGCTACGATTGCCTTCACTACACACGGACGAGGGAACGAGAACCGCGGGTCGCGCTGGCCAGGGAATGCCGTCAGCGCTGATGGAACATGCCTCCATGTCGGAGGTAGCACCGAAGACGCAGCGATCAAAAGCCGACACGAGGAGCCCTCCCGTCTGCCCGACCGACAAAGATGACACGGTAGAACTGAGGAAACAGACCCGGACCTTCGACTATGTCTGGCGGTCCGGCGTCGCGGGAGGCTTGGCGGGTTGTGCTGTAAGTTGGCTCCCTGGGTGACCACGATCTATCTTTACGACGGCCATGTCTGACTTCACCGGGTTATGCAGGCAAAGACGGTCGTCGCGCCCCTCGACCGCGTAAAGATTCTCTTCCAGGCGAGCAACCCCCAGTTCGCAAAGTACACGGGGTCGTGGTTCGGTGTTGCGACGGCGATGAAGGATATCAAGTCCCACGAAGGTGTGTTAGGGCTGTTTAGGGGACACTCTGCAACGCTGCTTCGAATCTTTCCCTACGCCGGCATCAAATTCCTCGCGTACGAGCAAATACGATCCATCATCATCCGAAACAAAGACCAAGAGACCCCATGGCGCCGCCTCCTCAGTGGTTCCATGGCCGGCGTTACCTCTGTATTCTTCACATACCCTTTGGAGGTCATCCGCGTGCGTCTGGCCTTCGAGACGAAACACGGCGGGTCTTCGCTAACCGCCATCTGCCGGCGGATCTACAACGAGCGCTTCGTGCGGACAACCGCGAAGCCTACCGGCACCGTGGTCGACGCGGTTGCTGCGCCTATCGCCGCAATTGCACCACGCTCGGGCTTGGCCAACTTCTACAGAGGCTTCTCGCCAACGCTACTGGGCATGCTGCCGTACGCCGGCATGTCCTTCCTCACACACGATACCGTAGGCGATATTCTCCGACTCCCGAGCTTCGCCAAGTACACGACACTCTCCCAGCCGAAGAATGCACCCGAGGGCAAGGCTGCCCCGCTCCGCTCTTGGGCCGAGCTGCTCGCCGGGGGTGTCGCTGGTCTGGTATCGCAGACCACATCGTACCCACTCGAGGTCATCCGCAGGCGCATGCAAGTTGGCGGTGCCGTTGGGGACGGTCACCGGCTTCGCATCAGCGAAACGGCCGCGATGATCTTTAGGGAGAGGGGAGTGCCAGGCTTCTTTGTGGGCTTGACGATTGGTTACGTGAAGGTGTTCCCCTTGGCAGCCGTGAGCTTCTACACTTACGAACGCGCCAAGACCTGGTTGGGAATTTAGACTGTCTGCTTGTGACAAGAGAGAGAGATGGATGGCTGTTTATGAGTACGGCGTTATTGGGATACAACCGGGGCAGAAGCATTGCTGGGTTTTATGAAACAAACAGGCGGTTGAGAGGAGAAGCCCTGAACCGCCGGAGTATGAGGGCGCCCTAGATTGGAGGCTAACTGCACATGACATTGTCCAATAAACAGTTTTGTATGTTGCGTCACATGTTACGCTCGAAATTGCAGCACATTCTGATTTTTGCGGCTGAGCGACAGGGTGGGCGATTTGGCTCGATTTCATTATATTTTTATTTGTCAAATCATCATACCGCTCTTACTCAGCTTCCTCGCTGATACATCTTGTGATCTCAACACCGTCCTAGATCTTGTCAGAAGCTGCATATGACTTGCTTCGCAGCGGTGGGAGAAACTCACGGGCACACCAGTCGGCTCGAAGCTGTTGATCAGCCGGCTCTCATACTTGAGATGCGGGTTCCCAACCCTCGTCAAGTCTAACCTCTCCTCGCCCTCGCGCTTGAGATACTGCTTCGCGGTCCGGTCGTCAAAGAAGCCGCTCTCCTTGCGCGCCTTGGCAACATCTTTGGCGGCGGCACGCTTCTCCGCGACCGAGCTCCGCACGTACTCCAAATACGGCGGGTTGCCGGGCTTGATGACGTTGTCGGCCGCGAGGACGGACCCGGGCGCGACGATGCCGAGCTGCTCGCACAGCTTGAGGTCGGTCGTGTAGGCGGGCTTGTAGTGGTCCAGGAACATGAGGTCGATCCTGGGGAGGTCGCCGGCGGCGTGCAGGCGCTGGATGGAGGCGTCGCTGGGCCCGACGACGACCTTGACGATGTCGGAGAGGCCGGCGAGGTCGACGAGGGACATGATGACGGCGGCGAACTCGGGGTTGCGCTCGAGGGAGTAGTAGCGCTGGCCGCCCGCCTTGCGGACCGCCGCGCCGAAGAGGATGCAGGAGTAGCCGACGTACCCGCCCAGCTCGACCTGGTGATGATTAGATGAAAGTCAAAAATCGCGGAAGCCTTCCCTAGGGAAAGATCGGATGATCTGCAGCCATCTCGTGTGCAACTCAAAAAAAGCTGGGTTCGACAGGGGCATTTTGGGGGTGGGGGATTCTGTACCATAACCTTGGGCTTGACTTCAGCAATCAGATCCGTCACGATCTTGCCCTTGTCCTCGCCGACGTTCATGAGGTACTTCTTTTTGCGACCGAAATCATCAATGGCGGCCAGCACACGCTCGGGCGAGCCGCGGATCTCGTCAATGTCTGGCTGGGCGTAGACAAAGTGCAGTAGCTCGATTTCGCGGCCATCGTCGAAGAAGACCTCCTCCTGCACCGCGTAGGCTTTGGTTTCGTCAAAGTGAGGCATCTTTTTTGTCTTGTGTGTCTGTGTTGTAGTTTGTCTGAGGGCTTATGATGCAAGTTAAACTGAAAAAATGACCAAGAAAGAAAAAAAGCAAGGGAGATTTAGGAGGGCGAAGCAGTCCGTGGCAGCGACATGGACGATTATTATCACGATTCAACGAGACGGATTAGCACTGATACACCCATTGCAGAATCTCCGAAGCAGCTCGCGCCAGCATGCCGAGTACGTCCGGAAACGCAGCTCTCGGCGACCTTTACCCCAACATCGTCCACCAGCGGGCTGTGGAGCTGCCCCTCAATGCACTTTGGAAGGCATAATTCCCGGGGGGTGGGCGATGGGCAAGAGCAAAGCTCCCCAGCGGGAGCAAGCAGTGAGGGGGTACTTGTGTTAAGCACGACAGGGCCAAGGAAGACAAGGTACCGCAGCATAAAACGATGACCTCCAGCTACCGTCTTGATTACCTCACATGCCTATGGCGGGGTAAAGAAGGGACCCGTTCATGTCACCTGCTTTCGCGATCAGGGAGCGGGAGCGGGATGGTGGGGCCAAGTCCATGGGGGGCTGGAGCCTGGGCAACCTCAAGTCCATGACACGCACAACACCTCATCAGACCGCGTCTTCGATGTAATTGAGTTTCACCGCCAGCTACCTCGGTGAGCAGGACCTGCGCCCTACTGCGGGGAAATCAGGAAGAAGCAAGCAGACGAGAAAAAAAAATAGCTCAAAAGCATTCGGGCAGGCAAGCTGGCAAGGTACGGAGTACATACTTCTCGCCAACGACGTGGGCTGACGGAAGAAAAACGCAAACGCCGCTGATCCAAGACGATTAATTGCATTCATCCGATCGATGCAACGCATACCGCAAAGGCTAACCAACAATGTTCCGACCGAAACATCAGCCCAGAAAATAGAAAAATATCAGGAAACCCCTCCTAGCATCTCTCTCCCCGGGCCAACCAGAGACCTCCAAGATCCAGATGCGGCTCACCGGATCATTGTCTCCCCCCGGTCTGTCTCCCGTTCATCCTACCCCACGTGCGATATCCAGATTCCACGATTCGTGTCGATCAACGCTAGACAATGGCCCTTTTCCTTGTTCAAGAGAGACCGGGAAACTGAAAAGAGGCTGGCGCGGCGTGCCAACTGCCATCGATGATGGAATGGACTTTTCGCTGTTGTGAAACATGGGATTTCCTGATTGCCTCTCATCACCCCTGCTCTTTCGCCTCCATACCGGACGGAAACCACTCCGAACCGCTAGCACGCCATCCAAAGCGCTTCCACGCATTGGTTCACACCGACGGCAACCGCCCGTGGCATGCGGAGCTAGGGCTAGAACGGCGCCGCCTGCACAAGCTCGACTTCTTGGACGTCTCCGGCCAGGGTCTATGGGGCCATCTGCAACATCATGAGCATCATGACTCTCGTTGTAACACGACATGCCGAGAGAAAGAGCTGCCAGACGTGAATTGGACTTGGTCGAGTATCCACGACCGAGTTTTGTGACCAAACCACTACGGGCAAGACGGGTCAGTGTACTTGTCACCGTTTTCTATGCCGACCCTACGGCTGCTCGCACCACTAGCTCATGCTGTAACTGCAGCTACGACTGCATGTAGGCAAGGAAACGAGATAGACTTGGCAGATTCAGCTGGGCGGGACAAGCCGCGCACTCGAAGCTCTGGTCTGCCTCTTGCTGCTCTTTGCCGGTCTTGTCGTTTTCGTCTGGGATGGGATTCCGCGCAACTGGATGCTCTCTGTTACGAAAAGAAGTCGGTCAAGCTTGTGGGGGTCCCTGAATGAGCGTTGGAGGCGCAAGTGATGATGTCGACAATGACCGATCACTTGCATGCGCTGTTTTGCCAATGGAACCGTCAGACGGGAGCATGCTTCGTCGGCTGCAGAGGTCTAGGTCCAGGTTCAGGAGAATACAGATTCATTCAAAAGGCGGCCGTGGGAGCACATGTCGAGCAACCTTCTCATCCTCGATCTCTCATCATTCAACATCACCTCTCCAGGCTTGACGTTCTCGACACCCTCCCATTGCACATCTTTCTTCAACCCAATTCCCTCCTAGTGTGCTCCTCGAGTTACACCCAAACTTTCAAACATTACACAAGATGGCCTCCGACATGAAGGCAACGGTCGAGCCGACCAAGCAGGGTTTCTCCGTCTGCGGCTACGAGAAGATCGAGTACAACTTCGAGTTCCTCGATGGCGTCTTCCAGAAGCAGAACCGCCAGCTCGCCGACTGCTACTCCCGCTGGAAGCGTTGCTTGGCCGTCATGGACCTCAACATCTTCAATCTCTACGGCAAGGAGATGCAGGAGTACTTTGACCACTACAACATTGAGCTCAAGATCCACAAGACCATGATTGGCGAGAAGGCCAAGTCCATGGAGACGCTGCTGAGCATCGTCGATTCCATGACCGAGTTTGGAGTCTTCCGCAAGGTTCGTTCACGCAGCCATGCTATTGAAGCTTGGGAACGTCGGCTAACACACTAATCCAGGAACCCGTCCTTGTTGTCGGAGGTGGTCTTGTCACTGACGTAGCCGGGTAAGCTCCAAACCCCCTTCATCCCATACACCCCCTTTCTGACACACCCCTAGCTTTGCATGCGCCTCTTACCGCCGCAACACGCCATACATCCGCATCCCCACCACCGTCATTGGTCTCATCGATGCCTCCGTCTCCATCAAGGTCGCCGTGAACTACGGCAATTACAAGAACCGCCTGGGAGCGTACCACGCGCCCTCCCGCACCTTCCTCGACTTCACGTTCCTGCGCACACTACCCACCGCCCAGATCCGCAATGGCTTTGCTGAGCTGATCAAGATCTCCACCTGCGCACACCTCGAGACGTTTGATCTCTTGGACCGCTTCTGCGAGGAGTTGATCGGCACAGGCTTTGGCCGTTGCGATGGCAGCAGCAGCGAGGTCCGTGATGCTGCGGACAGGATCAACCGTAACGGTATCCACGACATGTTGAAGCTTGAGACACCCAACCTGCACGAGATCATGCTTGACCGTGTCATTGCCTACGGACACACGTAAGTTTCTCCCCTGCAGCCACCCGTGAACGCCATTGACACCTTGCAGATGGTCCCCTCTCCACGAGCTCGTCCCTGACGTGCCCCTCCGCCACGGCCACGCCATCTCCATTGACATGGCTTACTCTGCAACACTCGCCCACGTCCTCGGCAAGCTCTCATCCGCAGAGCACCGCCGCCTCCTCAACCTATTCTCCCGTGCCGGTCTGTCCATGGACCACCCGCAGTTCGACGAGGCTATCCTCGACAAGGGCACCACCGCCATCCTCAAGACCCGCGACGGCAAGCTGCGCGCTGCCATCCCTTCACCCATCGGCCAGTGCGAGTTCCTCAACGACATTTCGTACGAGGACATGTGCGCCGCGCTCAAGGTGCACAAGGAGCTTATGAAGGAGTACCCCCGCGAGGGCGCCGGTCTCGAGGCATTTGTTGATGCCAGCGATACCGGGTACACGCTCAACGGATGCTGCGAAGAGGTCGAGTCAAGGGAGTTCATGGATGGTGTCGAGAAGACCGTCATCAACGATGATACCATTTCTGAGGAAGGTTCATCCACTGCTGCGTCATCTTCTCCTGGCGAGTATGCTTTGTCAAATGGCAAGAACTTGGGCCCCAAGAGTGCCACGCAGGTGGCTTCCAGCTCAGAGGTTGCGGAGAAGCTGAAGGGGGTCGTTGGCGTTGAGGCGGTTCCTACCAACACCGCATAAAAGCGTCCTTTTGTCTATAGGGAGTTTTCATTTAGGGTTTAACAGTAGAATCGAGTAGAACTCGACAAAAAAAAGTTTATGCCACCTTCACTCCACTGGCTTTGAGGCAGTCTGGTGTTAGTGATATTTAACATAATTTCCATGTGTCACTCATATTTACCAAAACAACACTGAGTTGCTGGTAACCACGCGTACTCCAGCCTAATTAAGACAGTTCTCATTCAACAGCCTCGAGTGCTATTTCCGCATTGACAGCTCCCTACGGGAACTCGACACCCTCCGTCACCGTCACTTTTCCTGGCTTATTCATCTAAATGCCACCGGGTAAGCTACTGCCGACGACTGCATTTAAACAATATTCAGACATCTCTTACCGCCCGGGACAGTCATTGGTAATCATCTAGTTAAGGCTGATGAACGAAGTTACCAATACCTCTCGAGTCAAGAAGAGGGCTATTGTACTGAGTGGATGATCCCACAACCAGTTACACAGTTATGTGCGTAGAATTCCTTCATCTGATCCCGTGCAATTTATTCTGGCTCATTTCCGTGGTGCCGAGGACCGCCATAGTTGTCGTTGGTGTGGAACGCGATGAGGACACACCGGTCTCCATTGAACCCCTGGGTAACTGGTATAAATTGTCAATCAAGTGAGGTGATACAGCTTCCTTTGCTAACAACAAAATTCTCGGAATACGTGCCTTGGATTGAAAATGGTCAGTGTTCTTGACTTGTACTTACAGACGGGCTGGCTGGACCGCAATTTCGCAGTTTTCTCAGCGTGTCGTGTCGATCTGTTGAATACGCTAGAATACACCCACGAAGAGAGCGAAGGAAGATGTCTAACCGCGTTTTCAGTTTTTCGATTCATTAATGCGCGCGGACCGCGCGCATGTTGCCATGAAGGGTCTAGGTATACTCACCATAAGTGTTCAGACAAGTCGGCTATGTGGGCCATTCGTTGGTGCTTCACCATGATCACAGCAAGATGAAGGCTATTTAAACATAACCACGTGGATCTGGGGGCCGTAATTGATGTGACTGTCAGTTTGCATCAGGGCCGAGATTCCTTTTGGTTTACAAACCAACTCGTTTGGACTGCATCTGCAACAACCTTCCGCTTTGAAAAGCCGATTTCGATCAGCTAATCTTCCGGATCGCGCGCAGTCGTCTTTTGTCATCTCAGCCGTCTAGCCGGCATACCGTCCACCGAGCTCAACGGCCTGCTTGTGGGTTTGTTGGCGAAGCTAGAATACGAGACACGAAAGTGGCCTCCAAAAGAGGGATCTCTAGGTGGTTTGCGTTTACGAGCTGAGGAAAGCAAAACAAGATCGGATCTTCGCGAGGTAGTTTCCGGTGATGTTTACTACCAGGTACCGGCGTGGCATTCTTGATTGAGTCAAGTGAGATTAAAGCATTCGATAGTTCAGGATCCAGAGACCGGCAGATTATCTCAGAGGTATATGTGGTGAATACCCAAGAACTAGTGCTTGGAAGTGAAGAAAGCCGACGACAGAATAATCGTTCTATAGTACGTTGGATCCAGACAAGACCTCTGCATACCCAGCAAGACTCCTCGTCCAATCGATATGAAATACTTGAAATTTCATGGATACCGTTGTATTTCTTTGTTGGTTCTACAACTTTCGAGAAACACAAGGGTTCATTTTATACCTCGTAAACTGTTAGCCTTGTATAATCCAGCCGAGCCTCTCCGTTTGACGCTCAACACAGTTAGGCCCCGGCTTTTCAATGCACATATGTTGATGTGCTTGGCTTCAAGATGTATACAAATCAAGATATTGTGACTGTAATCGGTGAACGAGGCATCTATCTATACCTGTAGGCCTTGAACATAGCACTTCAAAAGCACCCGATGTCGTCCCCTCTCGGTGACTTTCTGGAATGATACGATACACAAGCTGCAAGAACTGAAATAGCACCTGAAGAATAAAGATACTTCCTTACCGAGCTCACATCATACTTTGAATTGGCTAAGCTGTCACGCAATGCAGTGCCCGAAGGTTGAATCATTGAACAACCCTCATACTACTATCTTGGTGTTTTCGGGGAACGCTGTCACCACATATTTGGTATTAAATTAGTTCTGAATGTCCGATTCCGGACTAAACATTGTAGCCTATGAGTACCAGCCCGCGCTGTTTACAAAAGTGGCTTCCAGCTCATGAGCCACTTGCAACGGCCCGCGACCAAGCTGCTGTGGTAAATATTCGACGACAGCAACATCTCCTCGAAAGCGCAAATAAAGAGAAATATGGAATCTCAACGACTTTCCAAAGTATTAGGCGTTCATAAGCAAGCGGCGATCAGTTGCAGTCGATTGATTGTGATGTTCGCTCGAAGGTGTCGTCTTCCCTTGGATCGGAGGAGTCAAGCTTTCATGCAGCAAAGAATGAGTCTGGTCTCTGGACTGCTCACTTGGCATTCCTAGCAGTATCAATATCTGAAATATACAAGCAAGTAGAATGAAGAAAGACAGAGAAGTATAGACTAGAATGCGAACTTCAGATACACGGTGACATCTTTAACGTTGTGAGTCTCGTGACATTTGCGGAGTAGGCAACATACATAGGGTCCATCTTAGATGACACCATCAATGATTGCGGTAAACAGCCTTCAATAACTTACGGCAATGGCAATGGACATTAGGATATAATCCAATATTTGTGATTATTGCGCATATACCTTGCGAAACCAGTCCGTTTGACAGTTATGGCCAGCAAACAGGGGGCTGTAGGCACTGAGATGCTGGTGAACTTGACTAAACAATCCATTCTCTGCTGATTCACTTATAAAGAGCTCTCATAGAGTTTAAGTGAGTCTCAAATTCGTTGTAAAATCAGACAGGGCACCAGACACACATGCGTGGGAGATAGACAACTTGGGAGTTAGCAGTAATCGCATTGACCCGGAGGTCGCCGGACGAGATTGTCGTACGAGTTCAAGTGCGCCCATAAGTGGCTCGCTATCTCTTGAAATCGTCTCCACTCATTTAGAGACCTCGCTTTCGATGGATTCATAAGAATACTAAGATCAACCGTGATTTGTGATTGAATTGTTCGAAGTATCGATTACAATAACAGTCGAGAGCGCTCAACAGAGCTTGTGGTCCGCCAAAGTCAAACGGCCCTTAGAAACGACACAGCCATTGCTTCTGCTGTTTGAAGCTGTGAGTGGAAGGATTATCTTATACTGTGCCATCTGCACCCGCGACACGCTCGCCGTTCGCAATACCAGAGAGGTTGACGGAGCCCCTCGCATAGAGCATTTATGTACCACGCGGATATCATCTTCTTTTCTAAATAAACAGAATGAGGCCAGTAGTGTCCAGCCACTTGAAACTGTCCAATATGATGACGATCTGACAGGATGGCTCCTATGGGACGACTCATTAAAGCAGGATGCTGGCGTGTAGGAACTGTTGTCTACATCTCCCGATTAAATACAACGAAAGATAGTGCATACTAGAACGACGATGGATAGTAGAGAAGATCTTATGACTATCGAAAAGTCACCCTCGGAATAATCTTAAGGTCTGAGGGCGGCCACGACTGTAAACGACTACATTATTGCAAGCTGCGCATGGGGAATGGTCATTCATCGCCGCACCTCATTCTCGATTGCCTGTAGATTCTCTCAATCTGAGAGCGAATTCATAAATCATAATCCCCGTGGTCCCTGGGTAGCTTATCTTCTGCAACCCATTCCCAACTAACTCCATGATCTCAGTTCCGCGTCACTACCTGCTGTGTTCATTTTCACCCGACGCCGTATCTACGCATATGTTTTGCGTGGGAAATCTTGCAAAACGAGGCACCTACTATAAATATAGACTTTCAACCCGTTTGCAGATTCATCTCGATCAATGAGATTGCAACAAGCCAAGTGAGAGAGAAAGCCTCGTGAAGTAATCAACCGTGCAGTCTCTGTCCTTGACGAGGAATGGCCAGGCACACGTCTCAAAGTACCCCGTCAACGATGGGGCAAAATATGCTGGCGTCTTCATTCATCTCCATAGTCTTAAGAGTATTCTAGATCCACATATTCAGCCGAGACGATGTAAGCCATCGTCGCGTTGAGAACGATAGATGAGCATTTTATTATTGTCATTGTGGGGTTCTGAGATCAAGAAGATCCCATATGCCAATTCGCCAACACTACCAAGCATTGAACTCACATTTGTGACTGCCCACCCCCTTATAAGTAACCGATAGCTCGAGGTCAATCAACAGAAACCAATATGAAGTCGGCGACGGTAAGACTGATTCCTTTGGGTGAGCTGACATCGACAACTGGAAACGAAGCAATAGTATTTAAAACGAAACCCGAAGCCAAATTCCAAAGCGACCAGACAATGTCAGTCTCCAGTTCATGTCCGTGTCTCAAGCACGATTGCAGTGGCGGTATTGACCTCGCAAGCTAACGTTCGCGCAATCATGTCATGCACCACCTGGCAGATGCCCCTGTTGCAGGCTGTAGTAATAGCTACTTCCTTCCAATGACAGTGTATTCTCCTGTCTGGTTATTCCCATGAATAAACACCAAACAGTGCTAACTAGGGATCGGATGGGTCGACATCACGGTGAAAGACTTTGGTTTCTTGCCGGCTCATGTTCTGAAGCATCCCTAGGATGCCTGCGGCGACAGGTAATGCAGCCCGCACATTTTGTTGCCCTCTTGAAAGGCCGCTAGCACCGTCAAGAACGCTGATCTTATACTAACAGCTTGCGTCCACGACGATGCATCAAGCTTGTCTCAGCTGGCAGACCTCGGTGAAGGCCTCAGGACGCGACATAAGTGACACATCCCGAACTTCTGAACCTACCACATCACAAGACCATTCAATCATGTCTACCAGCATAGGCCAATGGCCGTATACTCTCCCAGGAAAACATCGTGACATCCCACCAAGGAGCTAAATGTCACCCAAGCACCCCCATTGGCCTCTCCCTTCCCTAACCCCACGCAAGCTTCAAAACAAGCCCCATTGGATCCCGATCCCGCACAAGCTCTTCAAACAAAGAGCTACGTCAGTCGCCGGCCCCCAAACATGCATCAGAACTTTTCGACATTTGAAAACAGAAGGAGGAACAAAAAAAAAAACGGGCAGACGCGCAACCTGCTCGCTCCCACATCCCGAGATGCAACCTGGATGGGTGATCCGACCTCCAAGCAGTCCATGCACCCAAATACGTCGGCTGCCATTGGCCAATTCCGCACCAAGCAACCCCCTAACGGAACGCGCATGCCCTTCCGGGTCCTCTTCGAACTGGGATTCTTAGCCCCGGAACCAGACAGTCGCTGCTTCGAAAATGGAAGCTGGTGTGAATAAATAGAGCTGCGCGCCGTCCCTTTCTCTCATGACCCCTTTCCTTGGTCAGTCCGATGTTTTTGCATCTCTGAACGTCTCGTGCGTTGAGACATGTCCGTCTGAACATGACGGCTGTCCCCGTTGGGATTCCATTCCATTGCAGATGGCCGTGCTGGACGGGAAACTCAAAAAACGCAGCATCAGACGCAGGACCTGCTATCCATCCACCGAAAACGGCCTAGCGGCTTTTCCCCTTACCACTGTCGAGTGCTGCTGCTCACTCCCATCTCGCTGCGGTGAGCCTGGAATGCTCCTGCTCCGGTCGGCGGTGTCGGCGTCAGCGTTCCCCGACCGATGGTCGGAATTACCTTTCGGCTCAGGGAGGCACACAAGGGGGGCCCGAATCAATTGGGGGAGCTGGAAAATGGGGGGCAAATGCGATCTCAACAAGTGTTAGGATCCAAATACGAAAGGGACGGGAAATTGCAACAGCTCGTCCGATTTCCCGCGTGCGACAAAACGCAAAAAAACAAGCTGCCTTTTGCCCCTTCTTGCTAATTGACACGGCAAAATAAGCTTATCAAACATCAAAATCATGGCTCGGTTTTCCAAGCCCGTCTTCTGGGCTTTGTTCCTGCTCGTGCAGCTGAGCATCGCGTCCTCGGTTGCGGAGAAGCTCGCGTCGGCGGGCAAGCCCGTCGCAGACTTGAGCCTCGAGGCGCTCGACGAGCAGCTGCAGGTAAGCGCACGGCCGGACAGACTCGCGATGAGTTCGGATTAGAGGCTGCTAGGAGATTGTGTGCAAGACTGGCTGACCATCCACGCCGCAGCAATGCTCCGTCGTGCAGAGCCTCACGGCCGATAAGCTGGCCAAGATGAGCGACTCCCCATCCCTCCTGTCCCGCGCCTTCGGCGTGCTCTTCCCGGGCACCCCCGCCGTCAACGCCATCCTCGCGACGCTGTACATCTCGGGCCCGCCCAACTTCCTCCTGGCCCTGTGCCCGCCGAACATCGACCCGTCCTCGCTGTCCGTCATGGTCGCCTTCGCCGTCGGCGGCCTGATGGGCGACACCCTGTTCCACCTGCTGCCCGAGATCTTCCTCGGCGAGGACGAGCCGGACCGCGCGCGCCTCGTGCTCGTCGAGCCGAACAGGAACCTGCTCCTGGGCGTCGCGATTCTTGTGGGTTTCATGACGTTCGTAGCCATGGATAAGGGTCTGAGAATCGCGACGGGCGGCGAGGGCCACTCGCACGACCACGGACACGCGCACTCGCACGCCGAGGCCAAGGCCGAGGGCGTGTCGTCGGCTGTGGAGAAGGCGGGGGAGCTCAAGTCGCGGAAGAAGAAGGCCGACGAAGGCTCCAACGGCGCTGTGGAGAAGACGGCGGAGAAGGAGATCAACCCCAGCGTGAGGCTCGGAGGCTACCTCAACTTGATGTGCGCCTGTCCCTGCAAGCTTCCGCATCTCGTGCTCTTTGTGAATGCAGGCTAACATCGACGTAGCGCCGACTTTACGCACAACATCACCGACGGCCTCGCCATGTCGGCCAGCTTCTACGCGTCCCCAACCATCGGTGCGACGACGACGGTCGCCGTCTTCTTCCACGAGATCCCGCACGAGGTCGGCGACTTTGCGCTGCTGGTGCAGTCCGGCTTCAGCAAGCGGGCGGCCATGGGCGCGCAGTTCGTCACGGCGCTCGGCGCCCTGCTCGGCACGCTGATTGGCATTGCCGTCCAGGAGCTCGGTGGTGGCTCCGGCGAGGACGCCATGGCGCGTAACGCGGGACTCTGGGGAACTAGCTTGGTGAGTTGCCCGCAGCAGCAGCAGCTAACGTGTGAGATGTGTGGTTGCTGACGAGAGATCCCCGAACAGACCTGGGGCGACATGCTTCTTCCCTTCACCGCTGGCACGTTCTTGTATGTGGGTACCGTTGCCGTCATCCCGGAACTACTGGAGACGGGCCCGAACAAGATGGTTGAGCTGCGCAAGACCTTGACTCAGTTTGCGGCCATTGCTGTTGGCGCTGGCATCATGCTTTACATTTCGTGGCACGACTAAGAGACCGGCTTACGGCTCTGCGGTTGCTATCGCATTTAGACATGCATACAAACTGGAGTTCATGCTCCGGGAACCAGACAAAATACAATAGAGGCTTAGAAGGCGTAATATACTCCCGTTTGGATACAAAGCCGGGTTGTTCGAAAACTACAGGTGGAGCTGGATGCAGCTTATTGAACGGCGCTGCCCGCAAGCTGAAGTCAGCAGGACGGTTCCGTGCTCCAGCTGGTTTGCGCGACGTGGCGGCGATGGTTCATTCAGACCTGTGACGACCTGGTATCCGGGTCGATGGGCTTACCGCTTCTGGTTGAAGGGCGGGCGCAGGATGTGGCTTGCTTTGATGTCTGGTCCGGGGAAGTAGACAATGTAGAGGAACATTGGCGACTCTGCTAGTTGGAGAATGAGCCCAAAATGCCACCATGGAAGAACTCTGTTTGACCGGCAGTGTAAGTTGTCGTGTGCAGTCACCGTTTCAATGGCCCTGTTTCGAGAATGGCTTGTGATCTGACCCGACGGTGGTTGATTGACTTTAGCAACCTATGATGCCATGTCCTTGTGCGAGTAGCAAGAGTCCGGGGTGGAGCACGCAATGAGTATATATGTAAGCCAAGTTTGGCGCAATCCAGACACCGAGTTTATGTTGGCTTCGGTGTGAGGAATATGAATCCCGTAGGGCGGTACTATGCATTGGCTGTTCACACATGGGCTTGGTAAGCTGTTGAATGGCTTTGGCTTTTGCAGTCAACCAAACGGCTGCGTCTGTCTCTGAGGGTGAAGTGCCCGTCGCTCTGGATGGCCGTTGCAAGTGTGATCAATGCGACGACGAGAGGCGCGTCGCAGGGCGCAGTGTACATAAGGCGCGGGCGTCAAGAAGAGGTTTAGCGCTTCACTCTGTCCTTGTGTGACAACATCTCGTGGTCCGGGAATGACCTGGGAGTGGTAGCTTGTATCCGATCGATCTCCCGTGCCGCCTTCGAGACGGACTCTGGTCTCGAACGCGCAGGCAGCCGCAATGAGCCCATTGGGAGCGGAAGGGCGGTTGGGTTTCGGGTGTTATGTAATGGCTCCGGACCCTGCTCCCGGGCGTGGGATGTCAGGCAAACAGCACCTCTCTTCATCGTGGGTCGACGGCCTGGGAGGACCAAGAGATGGCGCTTGCATGGCCCCACCTAACGCAAAAAAGGCAGAAACAAGCTCGTAAAACTTTTCTCGAAAGAAACCCTTCACCAGAGTCAGACAAACATCGTGACGACGATCACGAACGGCCAGCCACGGCTCGTTTGTCGTCGGCTGAAAGTGGATATCAGGCATATTGCACCATCATCCGCACCCACCAGCAAGCCCACAGATGTCTCCTGTTCCTGGATGCATGCTGTCACTCTCAGCGAGTTCCCATGCACCCCTGATGCGGGATGGACAGTTGCGAAGAAGCCTCACGTCTCTAGCGTCTTCTTCGTCACAGTCGTCGTTGTTGTTGCCGTCTGCGCAAAGCCGCATGGCATGGCATCACACATAACATGCACCCGAGAGCCCCATCTTGTTCCGCGCGATGGAGCCTCGACTGTCTTAAGATCCGCTTGCTTCCGTCCTTGGCCTGCGTGCCTGGCCCTTCCAGCCTTCCACTGGCCGTTCCATGTGTTCTAGCGTCATCATCCAGATGGATCTCATCAGTCATAAGCTCGCCATCGTCGTGCGGCTGCAACTGAGAGACATCCAATTACGCCCCTGGCAGGCGTCAACGTGGCCAGCTGCGTTCCTCAAGTTCCCGAGACGGTTGGCGATTCGTGACGGTGAATCAATCGGTGATGTTGTGTGTTGTGTTTTTACGGTGTGTCCGTGTTTGTGTGTGTGCAGCATCCATACACCGTACTATGCAGTGCGTGTCTCGACTTTGACGAATGATTCGTGTCCGTTAAAGAGAGAAAATTTTCACCTCATCACGATGGCGAAAGTGAGTCGCAGCTAGGATGGATCTGTTGACATTCGGCTTCCCCTAACGTTAAGTAATGGCGAGGCCCCCATCACGGATCCTTGGGAATGGTGGCCTGGGCGCCGGGGACTCCACCGGGCGAGGCAGAGCGTTTCGATCGCTAACGGGAGGCCGTACCGGGTGACCGATGTGCCTCCGCCGGCGGCATCCACTTCTGACCGTGTACGTTAAGGGGACCCGAAAGCATGGATCTCGTGCAATGCCAGCGCCAGCCGCCTTGCATCTAAAGTTTAGGCGCCGCGCCCCTGGATGGATCTCATTAGACATCAAATCCGTGTACGTTAAGCCCAGCCGGTTGTCGTGTGTTTTTGCTGAGCTTTTGCAACCTTTTTAGTTTTTTCGTCGTTTTGTCTTTGAATTGCGATATCCACCACACGCGTCTTTGAATCGTCTCTAGACGAGCCAGAGGTAGTGGTACTTGTGGTACTTGCTGTGCTCGACGCACATGTACCGTTCGCCGACTGCCTTGGCCGCCCTGGGTCGCTTGTCGGGTTTGAATTTTTTGGCGACGATGCACCCGTCCGTCGTCCTTCCTCAGCCAGGTCTGGAAAGGCGGTCGCTCGTGTGACTGGAAAACGCAGACATGACGAAGCAGAGAATCAGGGGGGAGGTTTTCCTACCCTTGCCTGCAGTTGTGATGTAGGGCGACAATGAAGTTTAAATGGTCTGGATGTGGTGATTAGAGTAGCAGTGCTGGTCTGGTGGCTGGTTGGGGATGATCACCGAGGTGTGAAGCGACAAGACGGTCTCCTCGGAGCAGCAGCCGGCATACCGAGTTGCGGGATCACTGCAATCAATGCCCGGCCGAGTCTCTTATCGTCGATAGGTCGTGAGGGATGAGAGGCAGGCAGGTTGGCATGCTGCAGGCAGTGAGGGATGATGGGGTCGTAGATCTGAAGTCCATTATCTCTCCCCCGCGTGCCCGCATCCCGCTCCTAAAATTGAGTGGCATGGCATGGCATGGCATGGCACGCGGGCATCGCGGGGTCGGCTTCGGCTCTCTTAGCACCATCCCCAGACTGGAGAGAAAGCTTTGGAGTTTTCACGGCTCCGATTGCCTTCCGAATCGGCTTGCCCTCTGTGTCGCCGAACTACCCACTTCGTTCTGCGTCCCGCGGTGAATTCAACGACGTGAATGCCATGTTTATTCTGGATCAGTGGGCAGATTTTTGGCGGTCTGTTATCAGACGACAACTACGACGGTAGTAACAGCCAGGAAACCGAGCGATATCAGCGCCATGAATTTCGCACATGAGCACTGCAGCGATACTGATTTGCGGGCCAATCGAAAGTGATGTGTCTTGCAGAATGCCGGTCTTGGTGGCGGCCAAGGTCCTCGGCACGCCGCGTGCTGCTTGTTGTTGCGCCTGCTATTCGTGCCAATTGCCAGCTGAGCAGGATGCGGCGTCTGCCCAGAAGGCTTGGGACTTCCGCGTACGGCGAGCACTGATGTCACAGTCGTGAGAAGATGTTTGGGACATGGGTGAGAGGCAGCAAGCGGTGGGAGAGTCCGGTTCAGGGTCTAGAATCAGAAGAACGGCATGGAATTGAAGGACATCAAAGCAAGACGATAGTTTCCTGGAGGTCTGACGTTGGCAGCCACGCAAGGTACCTTCAGGCAGTCGCGATTGAACCTACAACGTCGTCGTTGCTGTGAATGCTACAGATATGTGCATGAAGGGCGGAAGGCTGGAAACTACCTGACCGTACCTCTTCCCGCGATGGGTTGCCGATCATCGGCCCCGGCTGAAGGAATGGGCGCAGGAAGGTCCAACAAAGAAAGGGTTCATGTCGACAATAAGTGGGGCGTGCGCCTTTTGGACATGCTAACGGTTGAGTTGGATTGACATGATGACTCCCAAGACTCCCTACAACACCGCTAATGTCGTTTCAAGACCGCGTGGCTTACCAACCCGACGGAATGGTGCAATCCCGCTGCGCTCCTGGCCGCTTTAGCTTCAGCATCTATCTGGATTATTAAGTCCGAGATTCATAATGATCGACCATGGGAATGAAGGGAAATCAGCACTTGGGCAGGGTCAGGCCAGACGGGGTACTGTAGATGTTGACCGCGTGTAAGAGGGCTCTTTCGTGTGCATGCCGAAGGAGGTACTCAGATAGATTTCTACTTCCGGCAAGCAATGCATGGCATCGTAAGGTATGGATTGCATGATCAATTTGCGGAGTACGCAGTAACAGTCTCTGAGAGCTTGTCTTCTGTCGGCCGAGAATGCGGCAAGAGATCGAATGGCCGAAAGTAAAGTGTAGTCGACAGCCAATTCTCGGCACCGAGACCCAGATGCTTCTCGGAGTCGGAGTAGAGATGGAGAAAACTAGCTGCCATTCACGCCTTTCACGCCGTGTACCTAGTCATAGCTACAGAGCGAATGCTCCGCAGAGCCCGCGCAGAGCCCTGGAGAGAGGGAAAAAGCCTTCCATGTTCAATCCGCCCTGTGACACTTTCCGGGACTCGGAGTCCCACATGCGCCTGCAACTGGGAGATCGCTGCGCGGGAACACACCAGCTGCCCCAGCGAAAGAGCCGCGCTACAGGATCAGCTACGCTGTAAACAGCCTTCGTGCTCACTGGAAGGGCGTCACTGTGTCGTCCCTTCTTAGGGGAGTCATCCACCGGCCCAGTGTGGACCGTTCTTTTTTTTCTCCCCCCTTGGCTCCACACCATGTGAGTCTCTCTCTCTCTTGTTTCTTCCTCCCACGTCTGTGCTCGTCCAACATGTACATCTGCCATGTATCTCATGTACCTCTCTCAGGTACCGGTACGATACCCACCTCCCTCCATCACGCAGGCTGGAGGTGAGGAGCCCGCCCTTTGCAAGTGCAAAGGCGTGGAGGGCTTGCTTCCGGCCCTGGCGCCTGCTTTCCTGCCATGGATTGCTGCTTGGATAAGTCAAACGAACCTCCTGTTGGGCCTGACCATCCTTGACTTTGACTCAGCCTTAAAGAGAGCCGGTTCGCCCTTCCTCTTGTCATCGTGATACTCCATTACTCTCCGTACCACTCAGAAGCTTCAACTCGATTCCTATTACCACATTCCAACCCATCCTGTCCCCATCTGGTTTCCATCACATATCTGGGGATCTCCAATCGACTTGTCATCCATATATGACCGCTATCCACTGCAACGCCGTCTTGAAGTTCTAGACCACCGTCCACTTGCTCATGTTCGCCCTGCTTACACCAAAGCAACTGGCGCTTGTGCTCCCCCTCACCCGTCAGGCATAGAGACGCATTGACAACTCAACATCACCATCAACCATCCTCGTCCCGGATCCAAACCGTCATCATGTCCAGCCACAGCGAAATCAGCTCGGTCGTCACCTTCGCCCGCCAGTCCGGCCACAAGAAGATGAGCATCGAGATCAACATCAACGACCACTACACCTCCAAGGTGTACACTTCTGGCAGCCCCATCTCTGGAGACGTCATCATCACACCAAACAATGATTGCCGCTTCGACTACGTCCAGATTATCCTTCTGGGCACCTCGAGGACTCGTCTGGATGCCGTCCAGATTCCCCAGCTGTCGTCCCACACCTTCCTGAAGCTGGATATGCCTATCCCCGAGTCGGCTTACCCCGTACCCCGGATTTTCGAGGCTGGCCGCACTTACACCATCCCCTTCAACTTTGTCATCCCCCAGCACCTCACCATCAGCGCGTGCACTCACAAGGCGCAATCCGACCTTATTCACGACCACCACATGCGGTTGCCGCCATCCATGGGCAGCTGGGAGAAGGACGACATGAGCCCCGACATGGCCCAGATCCACTACGCCATCAAGGCCCGCGTTGTGCGTCAGGATGAGCTCGGTGGACGTCCCACTAAGGTCATGGAGGACGCCCACCTGCTCAACGTCCTCCCTTCCTCGCCTGAAGACCCGCCCTTGAACATCACCAAGCAGGACAAGGGGTACACTCTGAGCAAGACCAAGACGATCCGCAAGAACATCTTTTCTTCCAAGCAGGGACGCATCACAGCTTCGGCTGCCCAGCCTGGAGCTGTCTACCTTACTCAGGACGGCCGTGGCTCTTCTGAAGGCACGCTCATGGTTAACCTCAACTTTGAGCCTGCTTCTGCCGATATCCTACCTCCAAAGGTCAGCACTGTCTCTGCAAAGATTCAGTCCCAAACATGGTACGGCGCGACGCCCATGACGAGGTTCCCCAACCTGGGCGACAGCCACGAAGTGTACGCCTTGACCCAGCAACTCGCCTACCAGACTTCCGTTCCCCTGTTGTCGGCGACAGTTGATAAGACTCACTGGCGCCAACAACTGGCATCCACCACTCGTCGCGACTCTGGTTACTCCAGTGATGGCCTGCAGGGCAACAACTCTGACTCGGATCACTCTCGAGGCCGCCGCTCCAGCAAAGATCGCTCTTCGCCAATCAACCACCTTGCTCTCCTCCAGATCCCTTTCAAGCTTCCGACGTCGCGCAAGACGTTCATCCCGACCTTCCACGCCTGCATCGTCTCCCGAACTTACACACTGCAGCTGACGCTTGTCGTTGGCGACACCAAGGTCAACTTGGCTGTTCCTATTCAGATTGCTCTGGAGCCTCCCGTGCAACAGGACATGGGCCTGCCGAGCTTCGATGCGGTGATGGCGCAGCAGGAAGAGGCGGAAGCTGATGCATACCTCCAGCCAAGGCTGATGCAGCAGCCTGCGCCCGAGTTCCAAGGCAACGCAGTATTGCCAGGATATGGTGACTTTTCGATGAGGAGGGCAGCAGTGCCAATCGCTTGAATGTATCGGCACTGTTTACCACCAATGACGAGTTACGACTGACGGAGAATTTTCATACACGATACCACATCTCAATACTTTTCCTTTGTCAAAATGTTTCATTTCATACTAGATGGGTCCGATGCGAAAAGGAACTGCATCGAAAGAGCACGAGAAATCTGGGAGTTGGGCATGGAATCAAAAAAGGGGTTGCTTTTGGAACGTCATTTCATCCATTTCTTCGGATACCACACATTCGCATGTTTATTACGATACCCAAAGAGCACAGGCAAATTGGATATATACACTCAATAATAATACGAAAATCAAATGGAACAAATGCGCCAGGCTTAAGCTGAGTTGAAGGTGGACCAGTGTCCACAAGTCATGCAGCCGATTCAAGCCGCGGGGCCCATATTTTACGAATGGGTCTGTACTTAAGATGCCGTACCTATTTCAGTCCGCGACGATGCCAAGGCCGGTACCCGGCAGCTCCGTGAGGGGACGGGCGTATAAGTACGGGAGCAGAGCGGAGCGGAGGCCTGATAGAGTGGGCCTAGACTCGGCGCACCGGCACGGCACTGTGGGACGTGGACGGACGCCGGAAGAAAATAAGTGGTACTGGCGGAAAGTTCTGGACCGACCGGGGGGTGCGTTTGGCGAGATTGCTTCCCCCAGAAAAACGAAGAGCTATGGAAGGATTGCGACATGGGGTTCGCGATTGCTGATTATTTGTGGGGAAGAGGTGATCTCCCCCCCTCGTCGTACCGGGACTGGAGCAACTCTGAGCACTGAGCACCCAGGTGACGATGGCTTGGGTCTCAGCACCCGGCGCGGACCCAACGAGGACGCGAGTTCCCCAGTCGCGGGAAGCGTAAGCCGTTGCGGCTTTCTTGTTGCTATTGATAGGTTTCGACGCCGTCTGCGTTTGGCGGGGGAACTGGCGCTGATCGCAACTCACATCGCGGTGTACACTGTAGGGTCTTTTGCGGTCCGTTTCGATCTCTTTTTGATGTGGTAATACCTAGTGTCAGGCTGCAGCGGCTGAAGTGACGGGCGGCTGAGGAAGAGGACGAAGGCGCAAGGTCTGAGGTGAGAGCCCCTAGTGTAAGGCAAGGTAAGGTAAGCTAAGATGGAACCTACAACCTGTAACCTGTTGGCTTGTCGCCTGTAACTGCTGGCGGTGGGTGTCTGTGTGTTCGCATGCGCCGCCCTCGCAGCGATTCCATCCATTCCTTTTGGGGGCTTCGAGATGGCGAAAAGAAGCGATGGCCGTTGCGCTACGAAGACACGTGACGACGCCAAACCCCTTACATCTTGGCTGCGTCCTGGGCGAGGGCTTGAACTCACTCCGTATTCTACCTGCACTGCACGCCTTCCAATGTTGGTGCCGGCTTTTAGTCTCCCCAACACGACTACCTGCGTGCGTGATTGGTGCCGTTTTTAAATAACAGGCAGCGGCAGATATAGGGGTCGGGGATGAGGGCGGGAAATAACGAGCGAACTGCGGGGGACGGTGACTGGTTGAGCATCTTCAATTGGCCATACAGAGGGCGCCGCAGGAGATAAGGCAATAACGTGCCCAGGAATTACCCTAAATGCCTTCCCGATGCAGCAGGAAAGGCGGCACTCCGCAGTCGTATCTTGCGACCTTCCTTCTAGTCAGATGGAGGTCTCGCAAGTCGGTCTCTCATATGGACGTCGTAATGAATTGCCCCGGGACGTGACTGCCGCCTTTATTAACAGGGCCTGCAGTGCTGTATGCCTTGAACCGTGCACAAGCACCCCCCCATGTCCATTGCGATTCCCATTTCCGTTCCCGCGCATTCCGTCGTCCCGTCTCGTCTCCTCCTCCCAGCAGTGCCAGTGCCAGTGCCAGTGACTTTCCAGCTTTCATCTTCCTCCCCTCCCCTCCCGCCTCCGTCCCATCTTGTGTGCTTGTTTTGTCTTCCTCCCTTCCCGTGTCCCGCGAGTCCTGACTCCTGACTCCTGATCTCTCATCCCTACTGCTTGTTTTGTCCTGCTTGCGCGTATCTTGACAGCTATCGGGTTGCTGCACAGTACACGAGTTCGCCAGTTCCAGCAGCTGGCGCCCCAAGGTTGACCCCGTCTCGACAGGAGGATTGCGGTGGCTGAGTTGCGTCACTCTCGACAAGCTTGCTTCTCTGGTCCAGAACTTATTTCTCTCTCAACTTCCCGAACTCTGGTACTTGGTACCGATTCCACTCGTTAATCCCGCCTTCCCTCCTTCCGACCCTTTCGACCCTCTTCTTTTTTTCCCCAGCTCCAGCTTTCTTAGTTCCAGCCTGGAGAAGAGGCCCCTCCCATCTGCGGCGGCGGCGTGGCGCTCAGAGACACCGTGCAGCCACGGACCTGGTTCTGAAATTTGACGCGACCGTCTTACCTTTATTTCGCCCTCCACGCCTATCTTATCTACCTCAACCGTCCCCGGTTCCCTTTCAATTCCTCGGTGACACACCCGTCGACGACTCGATCAGCACCCCAAGGGAAAAACCAACAACACGAACAGCTCGCCTTCTCGACACGAAGCTAGCATCGCTACGGTTCATGTGGAATTAGTCGGCCACTCGCGACCACACTCGACACAATGCGACAGGTGCTGAGGGCCGGCTTGGGATGCCTCGTCTCCCTGCTGCTCGCCGCACCGGCTGACGCCTTCTACATTCCAGGTTCGCCGCCCCTGCGCAAGCTCCCAGGGAAGGAATTGGGTTATTGGGCGACGATGCTGACCATTTCTCGACACAGGCTGGTCGATCAAGAGCTACAACGACGGCGAACAGATCCCGCTCCTTGTTAACAAGGTCTACTCCGATAACACGCAGCTTCAGTATGCCTACTACGACCTCCCCTTCGTGTGCCCCCCGACGGGCAAGCCGAAGCCCGGCACCGGGCTGCTGAGCGGACAGAGCATTCCCCTCAACCTCGGCGAGGTCCTTCGTGGCGACAGGATAAAGACGTCCGACATTGACTTGGTCGTGGGCCAAGATAAGCCATGCAACCTGTTGTGCAATCGCGAGATTTCCAGGAAGGAGATGCGGAGGGCCCGCGAGATGGTGCAGGACGGCTACGTCACCGAATGGATCGTCGACAACCTCCCCGGTGCCACGAGCTTTGTGACCGTCGACAAGAGCCGCAAGTACTACGCTGCCGGCTTCAAGCTGGGCTTCACAGACTACGCTGCCAAGGGTGGCAAGCCCCGCCACTTCATCAACAACCACCACACCATCGTCATCCGCTGGCGCAAGGCACCTGGCAAGGCTGGCGAGAGAGGCGGCAAGGTCGTCGTCGGCTTCGAGGTCTACCCCAAGAGCATCGGGCCTCAGACCAAGCGCGAGGAGAGCGGGTGCCCTGCTGATCTGCAGAACATTGACCAGAATTTCGAGCTCTACCTAGCCCCGAACAAGTCGAGCGACAACTCGGCGCAGTACTCGCAGTCCTCGTACCAGCCGGAAGACGACGAGGACCCCGACGACGACGCCAAGCTCACCATTCCCTACACCTACTCTGTCTACTTCCGCGAGGACAAGAACGTTGAGTGGTCGCGACGATGGGATTTGTACTTTGTCAACCAGGAGGAGGGTTCCAAGATCCATTGGCTCGCTATTGTCAACTCGCTCATCATCTGTGGTCTGCTAACTGGTATCACCCTGATGATCCTGGCTAGGACCATCCGCTCCGACATCAAGGGGTACAAGGAGGTTCCTCTCGAGGATGGCAAGCCCAAGCTGACGCGCAAGAAGACTGGAAACAGATCTCCCAGGCTTTCAGAGAAGACTGGCGGACTTCTCGACCAAGGAAACGATGTGGAGAACGATGCGGATGTGTCTTCCGACGAGGAGGCATTGGAAGATGTCACAGGTTGGAAGCTGCTCCATGCCGATGTTTTCAGGACTCCTGCTTTTGGCTACCTCTTGGCGCCCTTGGTCGGTTCGGGCATGCAGCTACTTTTCATGGCTATCGGACTTGTCCTCTTGAGCGCCCTTGGCGTCCTCAACCCGAGCTTCCGCGGAGGATTCATCAGCGTTGGAGTCGGTCTGTTCGTCTTTGCCGGCCTGTTCTCCGGCTATTTCTCAGCACGTGTCTACAAGACCTTCGACGGACAGGACTACCGAAAGAATGCGCTTGTCACTGCTGTTCTCTTCCCGGGTCTGCTCTTCGGCATCGTCTTCATTCTGAACTTGTTCGTCTGGGCGCAGGCTTCTAGCACGGCCATCCCCTTCGGCACCCTCGTGGCGATCATCTTCCTCTGGCTGTGTATCCAGGTTCCCCTGGTCTATGCTGGTTCTTGGTTCGGTTTCGTTCGCGGTGGAACCTGGGAACATCCGACCAAGACAGCCACCATTCCCCGCCAGGTCCCGCTGCAAGCTTGGTACATCAAGTCTTGGCAGTCGATCCTTCTGGCTGGCCTCATCCCCTTCGCAGTCATCTTCATCGAGCTGCTCTTCGTCTTCCAATCTGTCTGGCAAGACAAGAGCGGCTACTACTATGTGTTTGGATTCTTGGCGGTGGTTTCGGTCATCCTCATCCTGACGATTGCTGAGGTGACTGTGGTCACCATCTACATCCAGCTCTGCTCTGAGAACTACAACTGGTGGTGGCAGTCGTTCATGGTCGGTGGTGGTAGCGCAGTCTGGGTGTTCCTGTACTGCGTGTGGTACTACTTCTTCAAGCTGCACATCACGGGCTTCGTCAGCAGCATGCTGTTCTTCAGCTACAGCTTCATGGCTTGCTGTGTGTATGGTCTCTTGACGGGAACCATTGGTTTCCTAAGCGCATATGCCTTTGTGAGGAGGATTTACGGGTGAGCACTCTTCGATTCGTCACTCTCTGCACACTCAAGCTGACCTCTTTTTCAGAGCGATCAAGGCGGACTAAGCCATCGTGCCAGTGATTGAACGCAAAGTGCTTTAATTTGTCTACGGCACGGAAACGGATTGACGGCGCTTATTAATGCATTGCCCGGGGCGTCGCGTTTTGGGAACGTCCACGGGGACAGGCGT